CCCTGCAAATCCAATGGGGAGAAGGGCTGCCTGGCCAGGTAGGCTGCACCTGAGCAATGTCCACGTTGCAGCAATCGGGTCTGCAGCTGTTGGGGGGATCCTTACATTTCTTAGAAGGGAAACGGTATTGCGGTGAGAAAAAAATGCCTGCAACACAGTAATGATAATTTCTGTCACTGTTGTTAGTACTGATGTAGTAAGAAAATCAGTGCTAACAGCAGTAGGAGAGGCTCTCTCCCTTTCAGAAATCTCTGCTCACTCATCTCCATCCTCCTGAGCCTTCTTTCTGGCTGCATGCACACAGGACAGCAGTTGGGGGATGCATTCCTGCCTGCAGCGCTGGAAAGCCCTGTTGGGCTCTACTGTGTGAAGGGGATCATGCATACTTTGGGTGGGGTCTGAACCTTCTGCCTTCCTTCTGGCTGTTTGGTGGGGCGCTGAGGGTATGCACAACTGCTGCGTAAGGAGGAAGAGCTGGCTCTGCAAAGAGGGAAACGCATCTTCAGGGTTTTCACTCATGATGCTTTGTGTGCTTGTAGATTGGTTTGTCCCTGGGAGTGAGAGGTGGGACAACTGGGGCTGTGTTCAGGCTGCAAATCAATCCTGTAAATGGATTCAGTTCATATTTTGTATCCATTCCTGTAACATCTCATGGGGTTTTCCTGGGGATTTGCAGCAGCTGACGACCTGCTAGGTGAGCTGCAAGTGAGAGCCCTGTGGGCTGGATTCTCTGGTGGATGGATTAAGGTGCTGCAGCCACCCTTACCTTCACCCTGCTCTCCAGCTTCAGTGTAACCACGCCTTCACACACAGCACAGCAAGAACTCCTCCACGCCTATCGAAAGGGCTGGAACTGGCAGATGAACACAGAAACCTTCCTGACACAGAAACTCCAACGCGGCCTCATCTGGGAGACTGGCAGACGCCTGTGCATGAACAGAGGGGAAGGGAGGGGGTGAATGAGGCACAGAGGTTGCACAAGCTTCGTTTTCTTAGGAAACCGGGATAAAAATGCCCTCTAAGCATTGACTTCAGACGCTTATTCAAGATAACTGTAGAGATCTGAGCTGTTTGCCCAGGAGGGAAATGGCCTCTAGCTTTTCACAGCCTCCTTCACATGCGAATAAACCCTTTCCTGGCTGAATTGCAAGCCCTTCTCTGGGAGATGATGCATGCTGCTATGCCCAGGCTAGCAAAGGAGGAACAGAGGCACAGGAAATAGGACATCAAAGAATAGCACAGACGCAACACGCCAGGAACCCTCTATTAGCAAACCAAGGTGTTTATTCGAGGAAACCCTAAGTGGAGAGAAACCAGGTGAGCCAGCAAAAAAAACCAAAAGGCTCTTCTGAGCCAATTTCCCTCAGCACAAGCTCAATATCTCATCTCACTCTCTGCTCCAGAGCAGTGTGGCTTGACTCCTTGCAATAAGCTACCACCAGTGGCACCACAAGTTCTGTGAGATGTCTCTGCAATGGCTCGTGGGTGGTTAAGGTTGTATTTGTTGTAGGTAACTCTGAAATCTTCTTTTTTTCCCCTTGTGCTAATCGCCAGCTGAAAGGCTTCCCCAGCAGTATCACTGCAGGGCACTTCAGTCTCCCTCCCTCCAATGCCATTCCTGCTCTCCATCCCTGCATCATGCCTCTGGCTGTATGCACACTGCCTGTCCACACCATCCAGCTGGAGAGCAGCTTTACACAAAAAGAAAGGGGGACTTTTCCACGTAGTTGCTGCGGGGTTTTAAGCCAGACCTAGTTGCCAGTCTAGCCCACAGCTAGCTTGGTTTTCCAAAAGGTCATCTCCTCAATGAGCTTACTCTGAGCATGGAAGGACAACAACTATCCAGAATGGTAGACCACAGCAGACTGACCCTGGGGAAGGTGAGCACTGCAGCAACCCTTGGCCCTCAGGAGGGATGGGAGGAAAATGGGAACACCTTGAGCCAGAACTCCCCACTGTGAAACCACAGCCTCAACTTTCCCTGTCTGGGGTTTTGGGCCCTGAAGTGATTAATGCCAGGCTCACACAGAGGCACTTGGCTTCCAGCTGGGCAAGCTGTGCCCCTCCATGGTGCCAAAGGCACTGTGCCTTGGCTCACACCCGCTCTACATCTGGCCCAACCCTGTTCTTGGCACCCGGTGGCCTTGGCTGTGCTACAAGCACTTATGCACGTCTTAATAACAGTAAACATAAAAACGTGAGCAAAACTATTATACTAAATTGAAATGCTATCATTTCCACTAATTTTACCTTTCATTTTAATCACATTTGTTCAGCAGACAGATGAAGAAGATTATAACAAGGAAGGATTGGCTTCATGCATTCAGTTTTCCGGTTCTACTCAGGGGATGTGCCCTGGCCACCTTCTCACAGCAAAGGTCCCCACTAGTGTCATCAAAGCTGACTACAGTGCAGCACCTCCATGCTCTACTTGGAAATAGCCGAGCCTGTCTTAGAGGAGCTGAAAATCCTTGTGTTCCCACCTGACAGACAGCAGTGGCAAATACTTGGACAAAAAGCATAGGAAGGAGTCAGGGATAAGACCGCCTCTCACAATAAACCTCCCATCTGCTGGTGGTAAGGAATTTGTGAGTTGAAAGCAGCAACTCAACACAGAATCATGGAATCAATAGAATGGCTCAGGTTGGAAGGGACCTTAAGCCCCTTCACCAACTCCAGCCATGGGCAGGGCTGCCTCCAATTGCTCAGACTGCCCAGGACCCATCCAACCTGGCCTGGAGTGCCTCCAGGGATAGAGGACCCACAGTTACTCTGGGCAGCAGTGCCAGGGCCTCACTGTAAAGAATTTCCCCCTAATATGGAATCTAAATCTCCTCTCTTTTAGTTTAGAGCTCACTGTTAAAGATGCTGAAGAGCACAGGTCCCAGAAGAGAATCCTGGGGGATAGCACTCATCGCCAGCCTTTACCTGGACATAAAGCCATTGTCCACAACCCTCCTGTGATCATAGAATCATACCACCCACCTCCCACAATATTGCCCATTAAAGCATGTCCCTCAGAACCACATCTAGCCTTTCCTCAAACACCTCCAGGGATGGTGACTCCATCCACCACCTCCCTGGGCAGCCTGTGCCTATGCCTCACCACTCATGTTTCTTATATCCAACCTGAACTTTCCCTAGTGCAACTTGATGCCATTCCTTCTCATCCTATTGCTGTTACCTGAGAGAAGAGGCCAACTCCCACTTCAGCACACCCTTTTTTCAGGCAGTTGTAAGAGCAGTAAGGTCTCCCCTGAGCCTCCTCTCCTCCAGACTGAACCACCGCAGCTCCCTCAGCTGCTACCCCTAAGGCTCCTGCTCCAGATCCCTCACAGCTTTATTGCCCTTCTCTGGACACACTCCAGGCTTCAGTGTCTTTCCTGTAGTGAGGGGCCCAGCACCGAACACAGCACTCGAGGCACAGCCTCACCAGATCTGAGTACAGAGGGACGATGCCCTCCCTGCTGCTGCTGGCTATACTGTTGCCGATACAAGCAAGGATGGCATTGACCTTCTCGGCCCTCCGCTACTCAGGGCTGGCGGCGGCGGTTCGACGCGCTCGGCGCTCGGCAGGGCGGGCTCGTTTCACCCCCCCCCTTCCCCCAGTCCCGCCTTTCCCCCGCGGCGGGCAGGCGGTTGTGGCGGGCGCTGCTAACGGCTGTTGGTCGTGCGCGTGCCCGGCAATGTCGAGGAGCTCTCGGGCGGTGCTGCTCGTCACCGCGCTCCTCTCCGCCACCACCATCGCGGCCGTGCACGTCCAGCAGCGGCGGGAGCGTGAGGTGAGCGGGAGCGGGGAGGCAGGCCGGCCGGCCGGCCCGGAGCGGTGTGATGCCCTCTCGTCCGTTCGCGTATTTGTACCGCTGTCAGGATGGGGCTCGCAGCCCTTTGCGCCTTCTGTGTGCTGCAGCTGTTGCTTCGTTTGCTAACCGATGGCAGGTGCCTTTGGTTCGGGCACCTGATGAGGCCGCTGCTGTGAGCTTCTCTCTCCCAAAATGCACTTCTCACTCACGGCTTCCAGAGGTGCCCGGCAAAAACCTGCCGGGTGCCTTCCCAGATACCGGCACAGGTTGCCCAGGGGCTGCGGATGCCCCTCCCTGCAGGCATTCCAGGCCAGGCTGGATGGGGCTGTGAGCAGCCTGGTCTAGGGAGAGATGTCCCTGCCCATAGCAGGGGTTGGAACGAGGTGGTCTTAAAGGTTCCTTTCAACACAAACCGTTCTGTGATTATGGGTAGCAGAGACAGAAAAGCGTAAGTAGGAAACAAAAGAGTAGCTGCAGTCTTCTTAAGGCTGTTTACATCTGCTTGGTGACTTAGCTGTCAGTGTGCAAACTGCTCATCAGTGCCGTGTGTCTCACGTATAACAAATGTTCTGGATAAGAGTACAGCCTGCAAATGAAGTGCCCTGCTGTTTCAAGAGCTTGGCGTAAGCAGGCTGTGGATCTTCAGCCAGCCTTACAGTGAGAGTTTACTAGCTTTATTTTTTTTCAAATAATAATTAAAAAAAATAAAGAGTGAGACATAAGCAAATCAAGATAAAATGGCGGTTTTTCCTTAAATTTATTTTGCCACCAAATTCTCTCCAAGCAGAATGGCACTTTTGGAGAAATTGCTTGGCTTTGGGTAGAGGCTTTGGGCAGAGATACCCGACTGTTACAGGTTGTGTCCATCCTGCACGGTGTGGGAGCTACCAGTGCACTGCAGGGCGTTATGGCTGTAGGAGGTTTGCAGAGGCAGTATGGCACGGTGAGCAGCCCTGCAAGATGGACTGGAGCCCAGGTGGGGTTGGTCAAGTTCACGATCGAACAGGCTGTGATAAACCCTGTCCCATGTGCTTTCAGAGGCTGCACAGTGGTGTCCTCAGAGATCTGGAGCGACAAAATCAGAAAAGGGAAAACATTCGCCTGCTGGAAGAGCAGATTGCTTTGACAAAGCAGCTTACAGAAGAAAGAGAGAAGATGCTAATGGAAAAGGGATCCCAGCAGTCCTAGGTGGGACCTGATTTGTTAGAGGTTTGATTCAAGGCACTTGTGATGATTGCATTCTAAGTACTTTCAAGTATTTCAGTAAACAAAGATCAGCTGTGGAAGACTGTTTCTTTCAGCCACGTTGTATTCCTGTACCAAAAGCCATAGGGCACACACAAAATATTTCTTCCATCACCAGTACTTTTGGAGACGTGGCACATTCAGTGTGGATGGACTTGTGAATGCGGGGAGGACGGGCTCATGCAAACCCCATCCTGCTGTAGGCCATGAAGGATGGCTAATAACGTCCACATGAGCGGGCTGCTGAGCCGCCATGACGATGAAGCCACGAGGACTTCGACTTCGGAGGGCTTGGAGGAGGGTGAGGTGGAAGGGGAAACCCTCCTGATTGTAGAGTCTGAGGACCAGGCCTCGGTGGATTTATCCCATGACCAGAGTGGAGACTCACTGAACAGTGATGAAGGTGATGCGTCCTGGATGGAGGAGATGTCCTACTACTGCGAGAAGTGCCAGAAGTGGATTCCAGCAAGTAAGAGGGCTGGCTTTGTTGTTTCTTGTAGCCTTTCCCAAGTGCAATTGGCATCACCAGGGTTGTGATTTACAAGGTGTCTGTGCTGTCTTGTTTGCTCTGTGTGACTTTCAGTTAGCTATGTCCTGGGGATGGGGTGAAAGTGCTGTCTAGGTGTAGCACAGAGCCCAGCTGCCTCATGCTGCTTGTTCTGTGTGTTGGGCACCTCAGCCCATGAGCTGTGTGGGTGTCGTTAGCTGGTGTTCCCTGCAAGAAGGGGGGCTGTCTGCTCTAATTACTGCCAAACAAGGATAGGACATCAGAAGTGCACATGCTGTCCTGAGGCCTGTCACTGGCATGCCAAGGGACTTTGGCCAAGTGAGTTGTCCTCTCAGTCCTCTCAAATAAAGAACTCTTTCTGCAAAGGTCTGTGGAGGAACCCTTTGGATGTGGAGCCACTTCTCTTTTTTATTGTTTTCTTCCCTAGTTAGCTTGCTGCATGTGTGTAGCATATGGATAAATCTCAGCACTAATGATTTTCTGATAATGTGAATTTAATTTAGCTTTTGCAGAAGTGTGTCTAGCTTTGGGAGGTGCTTGGAGCAAGCTAGATAACTAGATCCCTTTGCTGTTGCTGCTTGACATAAGATGTATGCTGCTACCAAAATAGCAGGCTTTACATTAGGAATTCTAAGCAGTTGGTTCTATTATTAGATCCAAAACCTAGGTATTGCTAAGCACTGCTTTTTGTTGCTGTTTTGTTATCTAGTTGTTGTGTTTTTATTATTTCTGTGTTTAGCATTATGGAACTCTTCATTGTGACACCTATTTCACAGCTGTATCAGAGCTGCCCTTATTAATATCCTAGAACTTGCCACAAGTCTAGTGTAGAAATCCCTCAAGGCATGGTGTAAGCATTGCTAGTAATGTGGTGGAGCCAGCATAGTACTGTTAAAATGATGCTGTGCAGACAGTGGGACATATTAGCTTGAAATGTATTAATAATAATAATAAAAAGGAATAGAGTTAAAGGTAGCATGAGATCTCAGGGCACTCAATTTAACACTCAGTTTGCTCTGTTTTACAAAGATAGATGTTCCTCTTGTTGCTGTGGAACAAATCCCCAGAGCAGTAATGAAAGAGATGGAATGCTTTTAGAGGCAGACCTTTCCTGTATTTCAGAAGTGCCATAATCCTCTGTTTCCCTCTCTTCTGATTTTGCTTTCTTTCATCTCTGTTGCATTTAGGGATCCTGATTTTTTTTTTTTTTTTGTCCATTGTTTGCTGTTGAAGCAGAATTAGAACATTTAGCTTTTAATGTGTGCTGCTTTATATTTGTCTCTACCCCAGTAGATGACATTTATTCAAACTTCTTGCAGGGTTAGCAGATCAGCTGTTTTTTTTTTGTTATTTGTTATCAAGTAGAATGGGGAAAATGGCTATTTATTGCAACATATAGATTATTCTTGGGAAGCAAAAACTAATGAAAAATGTGGAGGAAGTCCTTTGGCTGTGTTCTTCTGCTAAGTAGAACGAGACTTTCTAACGCCTGTGCTTTTTTGATAGTCACTGCTGGCTGCTGCAACTGTAAAATGAACCCATACCTTACATTACAGCTTGTGCCAGCACTTGTTGGGTACTGCTTGGGTCTTTGAACTCTAGGAAAAGGCAAAAGTGCTTTTCTGCCTGATGTTGTAGGGAATCCAGATCTTTTTTGCAGCTTTTCTTTGTATGAAAGGACTGAAAGTGTGATCTTTTGCCTATTGATTTTAGGTCAACTGAGAGAACAGCTCAGCTATCTCAAAGGAGATAACTTTTTCAGATTTACTTGCTCAGATTGCTCAGAAGATGGGAAAGAACAATTTGAGCGGCTGAGATTAACTTGGCAACAAGTAAGTACAATGTCTGTGCCAGGAGAACGACCACAGCACTTTAGAGAATTGTTGTTTGTTATGTATGTATTACCTAGAAAAGGAGGATTGGGTACAGATGACAAACATATGAGTGAACTGCAGAAATTAATTAGTAGAGGATTGCCTGCAGATTAGAATTTGAGTATTTGGCAAGTAAGTTGCAAGATAATCACACAAACCACATTCCTCCTCTTTTTCCCTCCTCACTCATGTTGCACGTGAATTTCATGGCTTCAGGCAAATTTGGAAAAGCAAAATGCAACTTGGCTTCTAGGCATGAACAGTTTTTTGTATATACAAGCAAATATAAAACTAGTGAGGTGGCAGCACACAAACAGAAAGCTTGCCAGTTCCCTGAATGCAAAGCTCTAACTTGGCTCCTTGCTTACTAACAGTTCTTGCTGGATTCTGCAAGTTCAGTCACTTACACACCTGAGCAGTCAAAATATTCTGCATTAGACAGCAACCACTGTGTGGATAGGGTGATGCATGTCTTGCTCCCAGTAGAGTGCAGATTTACTTTGAGGGGCACGCAGGAAGTGCCAATTGCTTTTGCATAAATGGATTTGATCAAGTGGTAGCTACTGCCCAGCATTAAGTGCTTCCAAATGCTGAGCACTGGGAGGTGTATACAAGACATCTTTCTGCTCTTTGTGACAGAAGTCGTGTGCTGTCTCATAGATCATTTCAAACATCAGGTGTAAGTTCTGCAGTGCTTTCTGCTGGCGTCCTGTGTAGGGCTGCAGGGTGAAAAAGTCAGTGTTGCCAACTGTGCACCAGAGAGCAAAGTCAGCAGCTTTATGCTCTGCCCTCTTCAGCAGAATGGAAGGAGGGTGGCATGTCAGAGGGAGAGATGGAATCAGAACTGGTGAAGAGGAAAGTCTCCCTAGGCAGGGACAGGGAGGCGACTGTCCCCATCTACTGTGCCCTTGTGAGGCCCCATCTGGAGTTCTGTGGCCCCAACATGGGAAAGAAGCGCAGCTTTTGGAGCCTTCTCTCCAGAGGAGGGCCACGAAGATGCTCAGAGAGCTGGAGCACCTTTCCTATGGAGACAGGGTGAAGGAACTGAACTCGTTCAGTTTGGAGAAGAGAAAGCGGAGAAGAGACCTCATTGTGGCCTTCCAGCATTTGAAGGGAGTTGATGAATGTGTTGGAAATCAACTTTACATGGGTAGGTAGTGATAGGAAAAGGGGGAGTGGTTTTAAACTAAAGGAGGGGAGGTTTAGATTAGATGGCAGGGGGAGGTTTTTTCCTGAGAGTTTGGTGAGGTGCTGGAACAGACTGCCCAGAGATGATGTGGATGCCCTGTCCTTGTGGGTGGGGCCTGGGCAACCTGATCTAGTATTTGATTTAGTGGCAGCCTGTGCCTGTGACAGGGTACTTGGAACTTAGAGATCTTTGGGGTTCCTTCCAACCCAAGCCATTCTGTGATTTGGAGACAAACTTAATTTTGCATACCAAGAAATATTAGAAGATGTTATGTGATTTTTTTTACATAGTTTAGCCTGCGTTCAGTTTAATATGCAACAGTAAATATCTGGGAAGACTCTGATTGCTATGTTTCTGATGAATAAGGTAGTGGGATTGCTTGTCACAATTCTTTTTGTCTTTTGAAAAAGACTCTTCATACTTACACACTGCATTCAGATCCCAGTTGCCATATGACTGATTTATCCCACTGCAGAAGTTTGTGTTTCTTCATAAACCTGTGTAATTAAGCAGCTTTTATTCCCCTAGGGTGGTGAAATCTCTGGGGGGGGAAAAAGACAGAAGAATGTTCATCTAACAATAGAGAGATGAGAAAAGGCAGCATGAAAGAAAGACTGCAGAAATTGCCTAAGAGATGTTGCAAAATAAGATATCTATGAGGCTGCAAAGATTTGTGTGCATAGCGTCACACAGTTGGGTGCAGCTCACCAGGAGAAGCAGAAAAGGTGCACTGGTTTCCACTGCTTTCTGTTCCAGGTTGTCATGCTGGCAATGTACAATTTGTCTCTGGAAGGAACTGGCCGTCAGGGGTACTTCAGATGGAAAGAAGATATTTGTGCTTTTATTGAGAAACACTGGACTTTCTTATTAGGAAACAGGTAAAGACATGCTGTGTCCTGGAAGCTTTGGTTGGTGAGCTGAATGAATTAAAAGCTGGTATACAGGTGGGCAACGTGAGCCCTGGTTAGTTAGGGATGTCTTTGTTGAGTCTAGCTAGCCAGAAAATTGAAGTATTTAATGCTAAGAACCTGAATATAGGCATGAGGGGCAATCTTGAGGAAAAAATAAGCATTTCTCAATGTGAAGGGGAAAAAAAGCAAAATAAAAAATGTAGCCATGTAGCTGCATATGTTTTGGAGTTATTTCTTCATTTAAATACTGTATGAACCCACAAAGCTTTTCAGTCTGACTAAATTTTCACAGCAGATGGGCTAATCCTGACGTCATCTGTCTGGACTTGAAAGAAAGAGCTTCAGCAAAGTACTCTGTTCCTCAGCTCCAAAGTTTGTATGATCAAGTTCATGACAAAGGGAAGCTGGGCTTTGTCTTCTAGTTTGTTTTGGATCTTAATAAAATAGCTCTTAATAGGTGTTGCACAGTACAGTAAATTCTTTCTCACTCGGTGTGTACTGAGGAGGAAGCTGTTAGAATGAGAACCCTTCTCATAAATGGTAACTTGTGACAGTGTCTTGTGCCTTGCGTAAGTGAATGTTGTGTTATTTTCTAAGCATACTGCCACTGTCAAAATCAAATGTCACTGTTAATGCATGTGCTATGGAGGCAGAAAAAGAATTGAGCAAGCCTAGGAAGTTGTGTATTTATTGGTTTCACAGACTTCCTCCTGGCTTCAAGGATTGGCCTTTTCTCCCTGTCCAGATTTGTTGTTTGCTTTCATTGCATGCCTGTGCCTCGTTGCTCTGTACCCAGCAATGTTAGTCCCCTCTGGAAACCAACAGGACTCTGGCAGGAGGGCAGCTGATGGCCAGTTGTCTCTCTCTCAGGGAGCCTTGCCTCTCAGTGTTTGCTGCTGCCTCCTGAGACCTGCCTTATGGGCGAGGTAGTCCCTGCTCTGATTGATTTCAGATGAAATGAGTACTGGCTTGAGTCTGTTGGTTCCCTTCTTTGCCTGGATTAGCCTCTGGTGGAGCAGGGACAGCTAAACCATATGTGTGACAGTTCAGGAGCCGCTGTGGTGTTCATGCTTGCCAGATCTAGTCGCTCCAGACTCTGAACTGGGACATTTGATGCTAATCTCCCAGGTTTAAAGGGCACTGCAGGGGTGCTAGTGGCAGAATTAGCCTGTCCTCCATCAGATACGTGTATCGCAACTCACTGTCACAAGAAGAAAAATAACATCTCGCTGTGCTCAATTTGTCTGGCGTTTATGGAACGTAGGTATGCAGCACTTTGTCAGAGCCTGTTGATTGTAGGTTGTCCTTTTTCTGAGAAGAAATTCTTTAATCCTTTCTCTGCTGGAGGACTGGAATTGAGGGAGTACGTAATCCCGCTGTGTCAGTCAGCGCCTGAAGCCCTCTGCCCTTACCATCTCTGAGCAGTGGGGAGGCTTAGGGGTGAAGGCACAGCTGGTGAGTAGGGACCTAACGCTTGTTTTCATATCTCCCACTGTAGGAAAAAGACCTCGACATGGTGGAGCACAGTTGCTGGCTGTCTCTCTGTGGGGAGCCCCTTGTATTTCCGCTCAGGAGCCCAGGAATTTGGAGAACCAGGGTGGTGGAAACTGGTTCATAATAAACCCCCAACAATGAAACCTGAAGGGGAAAAGCTGTCTGCATCCACACTAAAGGCGAAAGGTAACTGTTTCCCAGATGGGATATAGATTCCTAGCTGGGCCAGAGCTGATAGAGCTGGAAAACATGACAAAAGTTTGCTTAAAAGAAAAGCCTTTTATATTTTGTTTCCTTTTTGCAGTGTGCTAACTCATTTAAAGGCTTTTGAGATCTGTGTGGGCTTTTTTGGTGGTGTTTTTTTTCTTTGCAACTGAAATCTGTGATTCTTCTGTTCTTCTTTACCCTAGGGAGTGTTTTATTTTGTTTTCATTTTGTTCACGCTAAATGCAAATTCCCTTCAGTGTAGAGGAGCAAGAACAGAGTTTAAGTGAGGTTTTAATGACGCATTGACTTTGCTATATGCCTTGAAGTAAATTTCATGTATATCTTGAAAACAGATCCTCTCAAGTTTCAAGGCAGCGTGTTCTTATCACTATATAGTACGTATACAGTGATTGCAGGAGCTAAGTGTATGTTAGAATAAGCAAGCTACTTCTTCAGCAGCTTCAAAGCCACCTCTGGATCCCATCATTACTGTGGAAGGTCTCAGGAAACGGGTAAGCCGCAATCCAGTTGAATCGGCCATGGAGCTGAAGGAGAAGAGGTCTCGCACTCAGGAAGCCAAGGATATTCGGAGAGCCCAGAAGGAGGCAGCCGGCTTCCTGGACCGTAGCACTTCCTCCACTCCTGTTAAATTCTCCAGTCGAGGCCGTCGTCCCGACATTGTCCTTGAGAAAGGAGAGGTGATTGACTTTTCTTCTTTGAGCTCTTCAGATCGCACTCCTCTGACAAGCCCTTCTCCTTCCCCATCTCTGGATTTCTCCGCTCCTGGCACGCCAGCCTCGCATTCAGCTACTCCTAGCCTTCTCTCAGAAGCAGATCTCATCCCTGATGTCATGCCACCACAGGCCCTGTTTCATGGTAAGAGTTGCTGTATTTTTCTCTTAGTAATAAGCTGCACATAGTTGTCAAGAAGGAGACATTAAAAAAAAGGAGCTCTCAAAGCTGCAGGATTTTTTAAAGTTAAGATGGTTGCAGACTAGTGATCCATAGCGAATGCTGGCAGTTCCCTGGGGAGCCAGACCTCATTCTAATCTGGAAGATAGAGAGTAAATCTTATTGTTGGAAGGAAGGTAGTCAGAGAATCATAGAATCACCAAACTTGGAAAAGGCCTCCAAGATTATCTAGTCCAACCATCCACCTACCACCAATATTTTCCCACTAAATCATGTCCCTTAGTACAACACTGAATGTTTCTCAAACACCTCCAAGGACGGTGACTCCATCACCTGCCTTGGCAGCCAGTTCTAGTGCTTGACCACTCTTTTGGAGAAGAAATTTTTCCTTATATCCAACCTCAACCTCCCCTGAATCAACTTCAGGTGATTCCCTCACGACTCATTGAATCACATTCTGCAGAGCAACAAATGCTGTTCGTTTGTGACTTGTAATTGTTACATCACTTTAAACAAAGCTTCTCCAGGGTATGCTAGCTGAAGATAGAGCTCATCAGTTCACCATTTGATTGTGTTCAGGAATTTTCAGCAACTTAATATTTGAGCTTTACAGCTCAGTGTGTGTGATATTTTTGGATGCCAAATTGCGAGGTATCTTAGAAGGATCAATTCTGTGTCCCGAAATTGGACTCCTTAATGCATTCTCTGTCCCAAATCTGGAGGCCTAGAAGTATACAGAAAATTGAGTCTGTTGGGTATCCCACAGTATTGTTCCTTAGCAGAAAAGTTCTTCAAGAGCCCCTTTTGCAATGGGATTTGTGTGTTTACGTTTTTCTTCCTGGATTATTATGGTGTTTTGAGCAGATGATGAGGAGATGGAAGGAGATGGAGTCATAGACCCAGGAATAGAGTATGTGCCTCCCCCAAGTGGGACTGCTGGTGCTGGGACCATGATAGCAAGTAGAAAAAAAGTGAAGACAGCTGAGCAGATCAAGCAAGAAGTGGAGAGTGAAGAAGAAAAAACAGAAAGGATGGAAGGTGACAGTGAAGATCCTGAAGAGTCAAACACGCCTCTGCAGTTGAGGGGAAGAGACAAGAGGAAACCACAGCTGGAAAAGGATGCCAAACCCAGAGCTCCCAAGCATACCTCTGTTAGCATCTATGAGGAGAAGCTGCTGCTGAAGAGACTGGAAGCCTGTCCCAATGCCCTGAGCATGACCCCAGAGGCCCGGAGACTGAGGCGCAAGCTGATAGTCAGGCAAGCCAAGAGGGAAAGGGGGCTGCCACTTTTTGACTTGGACCAGGTCGTGAATGCTGCACTGCTCTTGGTTGATGGGATTTATGGAGCCAAAGAAGGTGTTTCCAGGTCCCCAGTAGGGCAAGCGACCTACAGAACTACGAGTCAAGACTTCAGGATCTTGGACAGATACCAAGTGAGTGCCATTAAATCTAAGTGATCCTTTGACTCTAGTTGTTCTAGAGTTTTTGCTGCAAGCAGCAGCATCACCTTTTGAATATCTGGCCTGAGAAGTTGAAAGATGTATGTGAACAAGGCTTACTATGACTTGGAGCTGTGTACTCGCTGATTATTTCACAAGCTCCAGTTTTTTTCCTCAGGAAATGCTCAGTCAGCACAACTGTCTGTCAGTATAAGTACCACAGATTTCTATGTATTTGTACTCCAGTCCTGCCCAATAAACCATGGTGGTACCCAACTATTCTTTCATGCCATGTAGGAAAGAGGTTACCTGGAGTGCTTCGCTGTGCAGTAAGTGCAGCTCGAGCTACGGCTGCTGAATCTGTGAGTGCACTGCAGTTCCTCTGAGGTGGGACAGTCATCCTGGGGGCCAGATCATCCTGTTGTAATGAGAAGCCCTTTTTCTTTGTTATGATTCCCTTGTGTTAAGTCATTGACTAGTTTTCCTGAAATGTTCTGAATTTTTTTTGTATGTGCAGACAGTGCTGCCTGCCATGAAGGGATATCGACAGCAGACAACAAAGTTCCTGTATCGACTGGTAGGGTCAGAAGACCTGCTTCCAGACCACAGCATTGTCAGTCCTTACACGTCTCGTGTCCTGAAACCGTACATCAGGTACAGGTGGCCAGAGGTTGAATTTGCTCTTCACTTTGGAAACAACAGCCTACCTTTTGTGGCCTCTGAGCAAGAGGTGTTCTTGAGGGAGAGGATGCTTTTCTTCTGGGCAGCCATCCTCGCTCACTGCTGTACAATTCAGTATCCTGTGGTAACTTTGGAAAGATAGTTTTGTTTAGCTGAATAATTAAACTGGCATTAGAAAGGGGAGTCTCCAAGGGAAGGGGAGCAGGGCAGAGGAGGAACCATGGTTCTTAGGTGCAAGTTGTGCCTGCTCTTGGGTCAGACCCATAATATCCTTGGTGCAGCCATAAAGTCTGCCTCAATGTGCTTTGGATCTCTGACACAACAGTGCTATTGCTGAGCAATATGCTGTGTTCCCACATGAATGGAAGACTGTTCTTTTGTTCCAAGTAGAGCATGTCAGAAAATATTTTATGGACTGCAGTGGCATTGTTCCTCACTTGCCTTCTGTGTTTGCTTTTCATGTTAATTGGCAGGCGTGATTATGAGACAAAGCCCCCCAAACTGAAGCTGCTGGCAGAAATCTGGGCGTATCCACACAGGAATGATCTCAGCTGGAAGGCTGAGCCAGAAGCACCCATTGATTACTGCTACGTTCGCCCTAATCACATCCCTACTATAAACTCTATGTGCCACGAATTCTTCTGGCCTGGTAAGATTCCTTCGATGCTTGGTTTTCTAAGAAGGAAGTGGTTTTATTCAGAAAAGAAAGCATTCTGGGGCCAAACTTTTCTTCAGTTGGTGTCTGGCTCAGTTCTTAAAAAACCATTATCTGACATCATAGGAATGTGGTTGAGATGGAGACGTGGGTTTGGTGTCTTTGTCTTTTGAGATCATTTAGAACTGGGCAATTAGGCCCTAATTAGCACAGCACTTAAAGAAATAGGTTATTTTGAGTAACATCATTGATGCCAGTAGAAATAGTCAGTTACTAAAATAAAGGAACCAGTTGAACCTTTTGCTGTGGAGGTTTGGGAGTGGGCTGAATGTAAACAATTTTATACCATAGGTCTAATGCTCATTGAAGTGAAATCTAGGAATCACACTGCTACAAGTTTCAGTGTTGTGTTCTTTATTTCTTCAAGGCTTGATATTTGCAATGTATGAGAGAGTTTGAATATTGATTTTTATGTATCATCTCTTTAATTGTAAGATCCCTGGGGCAGCGGCTGCCCTTTATTGGGTGGAGTTGGGGCAACAGTTAGACTGTAGCCTCTAACTCTTGTGAAATAACAGCAGTGAAGCTTCTGATTAGAAGTCAACACTGCAGAGTAATTCGGAAAAGCCCAGTGTAAACAGTCCACGCCTTTATTCCAAATAACTGTTTGCTTTACATTTTGATTTGCAGATAATGATTCAACGTTGGTTGTAGTTCAGCTGTGCTCCTAAGCTGCAGTCAGGATCAGAGCTCTTTGTGCTACTTATTGTTCAAACTGTACATTCCAGGGGAAGATGGCTTGTGAAAGGCAAGATATGCCAAGTTGGGAACTCACAAGATACGGCAATCCTGACAGAGACAGAACCCTTTTGTCATGGTCTATCCTCTTTTGATAATGCATTTGAAGTTCTGGCCAAGTTGGGTTGTGCATTCATCAAGCTTTTCAGGACTCACCTTGTCTTATTTAACATAAGGAGCGTGGGTGTGTTCCACCCTACTAGGGACTGTGCATCATTAAATCAGAAAGCTGACACTCCCAGTCTCTAAAATTCAAAATCTTTTCCAAGGTGTAAATTTTCTGAGGTTGGGGCTGTAATATTATTGCACCTTGATCTATTTTAGCAGGAGATGTAAAGCACAGTGTCTGTGTGGGCACCAGAGGTTTAGTTTACGCTGGGCTGGTGCAGCTGCTGATTAGCTGGGGATGGGATGCACGGCTGTGAGGATGTCATAGCAGTGGTGTTCAGAGAAACAGAATCATTTAGATTGGAAAAGACTTTACAAGATCATGAAGGCCAGCTGTCAACTTGACCTATCAGGTGCACTGTCATTGAACTGTGTTTAGTGCACTTCAGTGCACTCAGTGCCTTCTAGTAGTGAGACTGTCTCACCGACTGAGTTCTTAAGTCATAGGCACTTCCCCAGGTGGGGTGAGTCCAGACCTTAGTTCTTACACATCTCTAAGTCCTTCCTGTCAAAACTTTTCTTGTTTATCTCAAGGCAGAAACAAGCTGAGGGGTAGTTACCTCAAATGAGCTGAAGTGAAGCAAGATTCCTCCTTGTTGTCTCTCATGCTATCTTGTGCCTTCATGCCCCAACGGGAAACATCTCCTGAGCAGACGAGTGGTAAACTGTACTGAGCTAAGCGTCTTCCTGCGGGTACAGCACTGCTGCACCACCACCAGAGCACTCAGGGCAGTGTGGTGTTCCTGTACAGACATGCTCTGAGGCACTTCACAGTCAATTGCAGCCTTGAGATAATTAACGCTGCTCCCTATTGCCAATCAATTCCTCCTACATCTTACTCCACCCGTCTTACTCTCGAGCAAGAAAATAATTCACCCACTTTTTTAAGCCTAGTGCTTTCTGAAGTCTCACATCTCATTATGAGTGATAAACATTACTGCAGAACGTACTGTGCTGTTTTGTTACCCCCTGTTACAGGAATATCTCAGATTGCCTATGTGAGGCTGAAATAGACAGTGTGATCCTGCACCTTGTGTAGGGCTTGTCTACGCAGACAAATTACCGAGCACTTTTCTGTGCTGTGAGCCAAATGCTTGGCCCTAGCATGCTGTCTAGATGCTCTTAGGCTGCACCAGCCATGTGATTGGGCAAGGTTACAAACTCCACACAGAAGCCAGCTGGTGCACTCTGCGTTGCTCCCCTTTGCTTGCAGACAGGTCCTTTGGCATTTGCCGGTTGCGGTAGTAACGGTGTGTGTCTGCCTGGTGCTGGCAGGCACAGATGGGTGAAGTAAGCCCTTGTCCTTCAATGTTACTGCGGCCCCAAGAGCCGTAGGCAAAGGGGATCCCAGATTTACTGGGACCTGATCCAGAAAATATTTGCATATGTGCAAGTGTCTTAATCCATATACGTGTTTAGGACTGGATCCAACAGACTGCTGATACGGCTCAGGATACAAACCAAGGAAAGTTTAATTGGGTACTGAGATTGTTATTAATTTTTAAAATATTTTTTAAACCATTCCTTTTCTGATTTTTGAGTTTTACCTTTAGCTAATTTGGCTTTAGTTTATTTCTCCAGAACAGGTAAGCAGGTTTTTCCCTCTTGTGCATTCTAACTGCTGCGTCCATTGTTATCAGTGGCAAAAGTCTCATCTTGTTTAAGTGTTTGGTTGAAGCATCTGTCAGTCACAGGGCTTGGAAATGGATAAGAGGAAGAAATCAAGTAACTGGGCTTAAAAATCTAAATTTCCATGCAAGTGTGACAGTGTAGCCCTGCTTTCCATTTGGTTTGTAGTGCTTTCAACTGTTTATTTCTTTTTTTGTAGGAATTGATTTGTCAGAATGCCTACAGTATCCAGACTTCAGTGTTGTTGTCCTTTACAAAAAAGTTATCATTGCCTTTGGCTTTATGGTGCCAGATGTGAAATACAATGAAGCTTACATCTCTTTTCTGTTTGTTCACCCTGAGTGGAGAAGAGCTGGAATTGCAACCTTCATGATTTATCATCTTATCCAGGTAATAGAAAAAAAAAAAAGAATCCCATGTCTTTGCTAAAGCACCAGCTCTCCCTTCTTCCTGGTATGTACGTGTGCACATGTTCAAGAGTAGGTAGTGCTGTGTTCCCCCTTTCCCCTTGCCCTTTGTTTGCTCATATAGCTGCACAGATTGTCATGTAGGAAGATTTATGGGGGGAAGTTGCTTGAAAAGCAGAAACTGAAATGTGCTTAGAAGACTGTGTTGCTAAGGTCCTCAGAATTAGTGAGGTGATGGGGTCTTTTGGGATTAGGTGTGCTTATTCCAGTGGTCAGTAGTTCCCATAACAGCAATCTTGTAAATTTGGGAACGGAAGGGGAAAATAGTGCTAATATTGCAGTTGGTATATATGGCATTTTTTCTTATCTACACCTGGAAGCTTATTCCAGTGCAGTTGTGTTAAATCACTTAACTGATCGTAGTCGTTCTCCTTCACTTCTAATATGCTGGATAAAATCCAGCGGAGTCGAAGATAAAGAATAAGTGTTTGCAACCTCATTCATATTTGTTCAGACCAGCTGGTACCAGGCTTTGTTGCACAAGGACACTTGGGAAAATTAATCTGAGCTAACTAAGGACAACTCCTTAAAAATTAAAGTAGTTAAGCTTCATGAAACCACTGAATGAATGCTCTTATTAAGGTATCCTTAATTCCGTTACTTTCTTGAATTGAATTGCATGAAAGCCAGTGTAATTTTGAGTAAGGGTACAGACAGATGTCCTTATCAGAGCCCAGCTGTACTTCCTCAGGACCCAGTTTTAGCACTCCCTGAGCTCTCTTGGCAGAGCTGCTGTTGTGAAGTGTTCCTTAACTTGGTTTAGTTGAGATAAGTTGCACTAGCAAGAGCTCATCATTGAAACTGCTTTCACTAATGTTTATTTGGTTAAAGAGAGAATGAGTTCTAGCAGATCTGTAGAAACAGTCATTTGTACCTCAGAAAAGCAGTTTCTACTGCGAGTAGCTCTTCTTGGCCACCCGTGGGTAATGCTACCAACAAAGCTTTCTGCAGTGCCCACCTCTCACTGGTTGTTAGTTTGTGTCAGCACATAGGGCAATCTATTTTAAATTCACCCCTTGCCTTTCCTGAACATCTCCACCTTAAAGCATTTAACTAAATTGCTGTGAACTGTAGACAGCTGATGTGAGATGTCAGCTCCCAGTGGGAACAGGCATGGGAGGTGAGCTGAAGTTTGCAGGGATCCAGCAGCTGGACTCTTTCCTGGCTGGGATGTGTTTGCAAGTCAGCTGTGCAAAATCACCACAAATATTTTTAGGACCCATCACAGCCAATTAATTCTAATTCTACTTTCAGGTGAACTAGCAAAAAAGCTTATCGTGTTGAGGAGAGCCAAGTAGGGCTGAGGCTGATTGGACTCACTAGCAATGAGACATCGCCGTTGTGTGTTTGGCTCATGTTAGATTTATTTTTGCATTGCTGCACATTTGTCAGTGGTAGACAGCATGGGCTGACACCAGGGGCTGTTCTCTGTAGCTAAGGCCAACTCTGTGCACTGTTTGGATGGAGGGTAGTGTTTCATTCTCAGTAGGTAAAGATCAATGTGCTTATTTTGGGGATGATTTATTGGGAACAGCATAATCTAACAAAAAATGCTTTGAAGCAAGTAGTGCTTTGATGATGGACTTGTTTGCAGAAATTACCTTCTAATGCATCTGGCCCAGAGTGCCAAAGTATATCTTCTTGATGATCTCAGCCTCTTTTTCCCCAAGGTGGTTCCTGAGTATTTCAGTTTGTTGTTTTTTTTCTTTTCCTTAAATCCTGATGAGAGCTTTTCACTTGGAATGATATGCTGTGTAGAGTTCCTTGAGTGCTGTTACTACTTAAAGTTACCACATGTTCAACATATATAGGATGCTATTAAAGCACTAAAGGAAAGCAGGAAACACTGTGATATTATTAGTTTATCAGAGAGAAAGGTGCCCAGTATGACCTTGGATCTTTATGGTAACTTCAGCAATGCCAATTGCTGTCAGAACTGAATTCTCTTGCCTTCTCAGGAGATGCGTGCCATGCCCTGCAGGATGGGAGAGGAGCTGGGTGTTATGTGGAGGAATTCCAGTGTGACAGCCCAGAGGTGCACTGGCGTTATAGCACAGTCCCAGAGAGTTCAGCCCTGTTTGCTAATGGGGAGGAGCACAGCACTTGATCCTTTGGCGTGTTTTGTCTTTTCTTCAGGCTGTTGTCACTAAGTATTTGAGATTAGTGCAGTACACTGAGGTTATTTTTAATTAACAATTACTTAGAAATTGACGATGGGAAGCTTACAGATGAGAATCCAAAGCTTTGATTTCATTGTCAGAGTCCGTGTTTCCCAGAAACAAAGGCTTTGAGGAAGAGCAGTATTGCCTTCATGTTTCAGCTGGTGCTGTGTGTGATAATGTCTGTGTTGAGGCCTAGGATTTTTCTCACATTTTCTCAGTAACTTAAATACCAAAGCTGATGAATCTCTTCACCTCCGCATTTCCCCAGAGGCTTTTCATTCTCTTGCTGTGATGATTTTTTTTTTTTTTTCCCTCCTCCTCTGCCAGACCTGCATGGGCAAAGATGTAACCCTTCACGTCTCTGCAAGCAACCCCGCCATGCTGCTCTACCAAAAGTTTGGATTTAAGACTGAAGAATACATTTTGGATTTTTATGACAAATATTATCCCTTGGACAGTAAGGAGTGCAAGCATGCATTCTTTCTCAGACTGCGGCGCTGATCTACCAGAGCCACTGTGGGATCTGTGAAAAGCCTAGCCTGTCGAGCAAGGTACTACCGTGGCTTTCAGCACAGGATGCTGGCAGTCACAGGAGAGCTGGAACGCACATTGGCCTTTTTCGACAGGACTTCTAATATCAACAGTGCTATGTTGTGTGCTGCAAGTGCAATCCGAGAGGATTGATTCACACTCTCTGAGGGACAGGCCCAGAAATGCCAACAGAAACATGCTGAAGCCACTGAAAGACAGAGATTCTTATGCAGTTTTCCTGACACTTTGGGGATTGCCACTGGAGAAAAAGGGAAGAAAAAAAAAAACCCCAAAAAACAAAAACACCAGAACTTGTCACTTCAGAGGAGCCCTGTGGATTTCAAATTTTGAAACCTATCCCAAGTTACAGGGTTTTTGTTTATGTTTTGTTTATGGAAAATGAACATCTAAACTTAAGTCATCTACAGTGTTTCTGCGATTTGATTGCTCTGTTAGGAGCCACGTCTTGAATCCATGAAGGGAATCCAATATCAGTGACATAGTTGGATTCAGACTTTAGGAAAGCTCTGCATGGGCCAGAATAGCAATACTGAGGCTGTGTTTTAGAATAATGAAGTGTGTGTGAACTTGCGTGATCCTAAGTAGAAGACCCAGAGGAGATGTCTTTGTTCTGCTCCTTCCCTGTGGCCTTCTTCACCCTTGTTGACTCTGTGCTCATTGTGAAGTTCTTGTAACACACAGTGTTTTGAGTTCAGGTACAAGATGTCAGTTGGGTTTGTAGCTAGGTGAGATAGAATACAGCAGCTGCTACATGAGCTCTTTGAGATCTTACAGCTTATCTGCCGGATCTTGATACTGAAGATCAGCCTTTTGGGCTCACCTCTAACCACAGAGCCAGCCTCACAGGCTCCAGCCAGTATCTGCCTCCTCCTGCTGTAGAGGAGCACTGTGGGTAGAAGAAAGCAGGAGCAAAAGTCAGTGGTTAAGTTTGAAATTCAGGCTCTGGTTTGTAGAAGCAACCTGTTTGTAGCTTGGAGAGAAAGAGCAGAGGTGAGCTGATTCCAGTTCACTGAAGCGCTTAGACTCTGTTTTCATGGCTCAAAGTAAAGAGGAGAGCAAAGAATAAAAAATAATAGCCAAGAATTTAAGGAAAAACAAAATACAACAGTTAATCTGATACCAGGGTATACCAGCCCTTTTATACACTTCAGCAGCAGCTTTCTCTCTGATTTTTTTTTTTATTTATTTTTATTTTTTTTTACTACAGAAGAACAGGAAGTTGGCACTTCTCTCTGCTTTCTGACTGAAGGCTGTCAGTGTGTTTAAGTATGAATCATATTCTCTGCCTTGTTCCTTTTGCATCAAGACCCACAGAGAGCTGCACAACAAATATATGTTTTAAATCTACTGTGTATACCTTTTAGGTACTTGGCTATTGTATTGCCTTAATTGACTCTTCATGTTGGTAACAGCAGGAAGGTGGATATGTAGTATGCTTTTGTGTAGCCGATGTGTATCTCCATCCAATCAAAACCAGTGTTAGTGGGAGGAAATAAGAACCCATCTAAGAACTGTGACCTAACATCCATGCACATTTCAGCCTTGCTTGATGACTGTGAAAATTTTCCATGTTACTGGTGTTAGGAATTAGCTGTACTTGGAAAGGAAAAAAATGTCTTTTTGAATGGAATTAAAGTAAAGCCCTTCCCTTGAAAGAGCCTATCTGTAGTTATCCTGTTTGCTAAGCTGACTTTCTGTTGTCTTTCTGCACTTGGCAAACCAAATTATGGCAAATAGAAGGATGCTTCTTGCTTCTCTAAGGCGAAATTCCACAGGAGCGCTGGCAGGATTCCCCTGCAGCTACTTCTCTGCTGGGCATCCACTCAGAGGCCGTGCATTCAGGACCTAGCAGGCTCTATCCTTGCTGGCCAGAGCAGGCATAAAAGATAACCTGTAGAAGAACAATTCTGCACCACATTCTCAAAGGTGGCTTTTAAGAGTTTGAGGAGCTTCTGGAATGGACTCAGTAAAGTTTATAGGGGCTGGAGATAGCTATTGCTGTTCTGCAGACTGAGGAGCAAGAAATTGCTCTGCAGCTTGAAGGAGGAAATGACTTGTTTCATGCTTATTTGCCTCTATTTCTTGAAAAATCAGCCACTTGCCTGTTGTATTTGTTGCATTCCACATCTGTGGGACTCTGTAGCCTTTAGTTTTGATCCCTTGGTATTATTTTAACGTGCTCTGGGAAACTGTACCCTGTTCCTTAGTGTTGCCTGTGAAAGTCTCAAATGGCTTTGAACTGTTCCCTATTAAGTCCTTTCCTGTTGATCCTAATGGCTTTAGTTAGAAGAAAGTGCAGCTGTCTTAAAGATTGTGTTGCTGATAGTTTGGGCAAAAACAAATGGCGATGATCTACAAAGGCATTTGTGACTGGTGAAGGGATCCCAGCAAACCAGATCTGAAGGGCACTGATGAAGCTGGCAGTACCTGTTCAGAATGCAGGTGGGGCATATCTTGGATGCTCAAGATGTCTGTTACAGATGATATCTACTTCTCTGCTGGCTGTGTGGGTGAGCACAGCACGCTAAGGAGGCACTACTTGAGCAGAAATTCACCCCTTGCTTTCAGCATGAATCTTCTGAGGGTGAGATGATGGGGCCAGACTCTTAACAGGCACTGTGTGAGATCAGATGTGTGCTCACATATGGGCTGGCAGCCCTGTGAAAACACACCAGGGCTGCCAGAGAGCTCTGCCTGCCCTCGCTTGATGAGCACCAGGATGAGGGAGCTTTTAACGCAGCTGTAAAGCAGCTGCAGGAAAGCTGAGCACCAGATGTCATTTGTGCCTCTTGACATATTGCTGTTACGTGGGAGCGGAGGCTGAGCACAGCGAAGCCCAGACCTCTCCAAGAGCCTGTGTGTGCTTTGATGCTTCGCAATCGGGGAGCTGCTAGAGATGCGCTTGTCCTGCCCGTTCCTCAGCGCTGGGTGGGCGTTAAGGTTCGCTCCGCCCTAAGCCACGCCGGGCAAGGTGGCTGCAGCCCCGACGCGGACTACATCTCCCAGCAGCCCCCGCGCCGCTCCGCTCCCGCCCTGCCCCGCGCGCCCAACAGCCGCCGTTTGAAAAATGGCGGCTTACGCTGAAGCGCTGCCCGAGGAATGGCTGGTCTACCTCGTCTCCACCCGCGCCGCCACCTTCCGCAACTGGCCCTTCACCGAGGGCTGCGCCTGCACGCCCGAGCGGGTGAGCCTTCCCGGGCGGAAGCGGAGGGATGGGGATGGGGGGGGGGCGGCGGGGTCCGGGTGGCGCTGACGGCCTTGGCTGTGCCCGCAGATGGCGGCGGCGGGCTTCGTGCATTGCCCTAGCGAGAACAGCCCCGACGTGGTGCAGTGCTTCTTCTGCCTCAAGGAGCTGGAGGGCTGGGAGCCCGACGACGACCCGCTGTGAGTGGGGGGGGCGGGGCCGGGCCGGGGAAGGGAGCGGGCGCCGTTACGAACTTGTTGGGCGTTGTTTTTGTGTTTTTTTTTTTAGGGAGGAACACAAAAAGCACTCCGCGGGCTGCGCTTTTGCCGCTCTTCAGAAAGATCCCGCTAAGCTGACAGTGCAGGAGTTCTTGAAGCTGGATAAAAAGCGGGCCAAAAACGTAATTGTACGTATCGGCAGCGTGCTGTTTCCCTTACCGCCGAGGCTGGAAGAGCTGTTTGCTTTCCGGCTCCGGCTCCCTGCTGCCGCCCTGCCCTGCCCTGCTTCCAGCCCTTATGGGGCCCTGGTACCGACTGGTGCTCCGTGCAGTAAGACAGCATAAGGCTTTGTTTCCATTTGCAGAAAAAAGCGATTTCTCAGAAGGAGACTGATATGGAAGATGTAGCCAAGGACGTGCGGCATGCAATAGAGAACATGGGCCCTTAGGCTCCTGTGCCGGGTGTATGTGCCTTGACACTGCCATGCTGTCTGAAAAGCTGTTTCCTGGGACCACTTCTGCAATGGCCACACCTCTGAGTAGCAAAACAGCGCTGAATTCTTCTTTACTTATCTGAGTCTGTCTAAGAAGTACCTGGGATGTGGTGCATTGCATAGATTGTCTTTTTCAGCAGGGATTCTTTTATTCTTCCCATTACTGGTGCTTTTATTTGTTCTTTTTTAAATTCTGTTTTGTAAACTCAGTTCTTCCCATTTGAGAAGTGCTGGTAGCCCTGCTGCAAAAACTTATGAGAGCTAGCAGACCTTTCCATTTTTGTACTGAATGCTACTGGTACTTATGGTTACTTTTAGAAATAAAAAGGATTGAAACTCCTTTAGGGACATATGATTGTGGTGGCTAATAATGTCTAGTAATACCAAACCATAGTGTGCTTAGTATCCTTACAAGTTTTTGTTAGATTTGGCTGTTGTCTCATGTAGAAGCATTTATAAGTAAAAGAGGAAGGCAATGCAGCAAACTGAATGCAATTTTAACTTCACAATGGAAAAATAATGGTATCAAAGCCCAGCTTGCAGTGCTGTTGCTCAGGTGTCAGATTGTCTTTAGGAGCATTTACCAGGTTGCCTTGAAATGTTGCTGTGCCTTGTAAGACAAGGTTGGTCATTCTCCTTGTGTAAGTTAGGGAAGGAAATTTCACCAGTGCACAGACAGTGAAGAATTATGTTCTGAACTGCTGGGAGTAAGTGGGAGAATATTTTACAAAATAATCAGTTTATTGTATGATTCAGCAAAGTCTGCAGGCCAAACTGAACTGGATGTGCAAGTTTAAGTTCTCTTGAATTCGGAGAACCTTGAGCTCCATCTTGGAGAAAAGGCAGTTGTAATCAAATGCTGACAAGACCAATATCCCTTGGTTTTGTGAGGCTATCCAACATTCCCTGTCCAAGCTCACTTGCAAACAATGAAATAATTTCGTTACTTCCAGCTGTAACAGCCAAATCATATGCCGATTGTCCTTTTGTATTCTTCTTTTTAATACTTGCGTTGCAGCTGTAAGTAAAGAATAGATTGTTTTAAGCTAGTTAAATTCATTCCAAGTTACTGGAATTAGCTGAGTTGCTTCTATGTAGGCACTGATGTGGAGTCGCTTAGACTTTCTGGATGCCTCTTCCTGCAAGGCCAGGTGTGAGGGGGCAGCACTGTGTTGGGCAGGCTCTTGTCCATCACCACTGCTGCTAGATCTGTGCAGGTACACTGGGTGGATGCCCAGCTGCAGCACTTACCGTAACAGGGCTCGGATACATTCCTTTCCCTCCAGTCCAAGCAGAACTGCCTCATGCAGAGCGGTGTTGTTGTGCCTGCAGGGAAGGAGTCAGCAATGTACTTCTTTGCTAAGGAAACCCTGGTATGCAAGGAAGTGTTACAACAGATTAAACTAAGGAAAATTAATAGGAATAGAATATACAAGAAGTTGCACTGATTTCTTTTGTGTGCTTCGATGTGGTTTAGTGTATTAAGTTGAAGTTGATGGGAAAGAAATTAAATAGAACAGTAGATTTTCTAATTGAAACGATACAGGTACATTTTTGGTAAAGACCTGAGGCAGAGAACCACAGCTCACTTACAGTCCTGACTGCTGGTCAATGTCAGCACCTTTCTGTACAAGAAGAGAGATCACTTCTGCATGCCTGTTAAGGACAGCCACCGTCAGAGCAGGTCGGTCCTCAGTGTTGGTGCAGTTTGGGTCAGCTCCCTAGAACGTGCAGGAGGAAGGTAAGCTGTTACAAGCCGTATTTTTCCACTGTGCTTTAACATTAATATGTTACATCAGTTTATACTGGCAAGTGGTCTCTATTTTCAGGACAGAAATATCCAAATTATATTATTGATTCTTCATGTTCTGTCTGAAAACTGTTGTCTCCTAGCTCAGAACCAGAGTACGTGTATGCAACAAGGGCAGTCCAAACAGATTCCCACAGTCAAGCTGCACTTACTCTACAGCCAAAAAGCAGAGGATGTGTGCTTTGTTTCTTTTCTGCGTAAAGGACTCTACCTCCAACACTCATTTTTTCTTTCTATGTGGCCTGGTGAAACCTAGAGGAGAATGCCTTACGAACCTGCTAAATAGAAATTTGGGGACAAATAATATAAATGTAAAGTAGATGTTTCTCATTTAAAATGTTCCTGAAGATGGTTATACTGTGAGGAGGCTACCTTCTAAGTGTGAAGTTGAAATCACGTGCCAGGCTAATATTCATGCAGTAAGTGGCCAAAGACTTGTAAGGTGAAATGGTAACTTACTTCACTAAGCAACTGTTCTATCAAGGTGATTCTTCCTTTCCCATTTGTACCCAGTTCATCCAGTAGTTGCTGGGACTCTGACTGTGGAAACACAGGAAACTCCCTTACGTTTCACATAGTGGAAATACAAGTAGGATATCTGCATTTGGGTGATGATTGGGAAATGCACACAAAATGTTGTTGAGGGAAGACGGCAGTATAGCTGAGCCTGCATTACCTCAGACCCTTCTGTGGGAATTTCTTTCTGACTCTGAACAAGTGTTGGATAACCCAGGCTAATATCTCACTACTCAAGTCTTGATTGTAAACAGATCTGCAAATGATTAGCTTTACATCAATACACCTGTCCAGAACTGGACAGAGACTTTCTCACAACAGTCAAACACAGCATTAGTTCTTTCCTATAGAATCAAAGTCTGAAGCTTCCAGAACTTGTGGGAGCGTGTTACTTACAAAATGTTACAGAACTTATTTAACTAAATATTTAACAATACCAACACCTGTTTCATTTTATTTCTTTCCACCCTTTCACTTTCTTCCCCCCTTTTCAAAAGCCCACGCACTTGACAAACCATTTTCATCTCTGGACTCACATCGCAAAGCTTTACATCTTCTTCCACCTATTGAGTAGGCTGAGTGATCCAAGCACAGATAACTGCACATTTCCCTCTTGAAATTATGAATAAAAGAGTAGGCAGTGCTTCCTGAGTGCTTGGTCTCTAGTGGAAATAGAGGTTTGCTTTTTGCATTAGAGAATGCCTTAGCCATCTGGCATCTCAGCTTGATGAGAAAACTGAGCTAATTTAAAACTTGTTGCGTAGGTTACGTAACCTGGCTTGTTTGCAGTTAGACTTCATGCAGCAGCTACAGCATAGGGGATGTTCTGTAGGGTCAGAACCTGGAGGCAACGTCGAGGGAAGATGGTAATGCCTCCATCAGATGTTGCTTTTTAGAAAAACCTATAAGAAATCATTCTGCAACAGTATTTACCACTGTGTCATTAAGACAGAATGAATCCAAAACCAGGAATAGTCTCATTAAGCTTTTGGTAGGAAGACAGCTTGACCATTTTCAGTTTTGAAATAAAGGTCAGCCATCAATTTTCAGCTTTTGAATTAAGTTAGACTTCTGTCTCCTTCCTCCCAACTCCATTTCCCCATGTCAGCTTTCTATTTTTATCCTTGGGTGCCCTTTTTCTTGTTAGTGCTGCTCCATATCTAGTTTTTCCTGTACCAGCAGAGGATACGTACCAGGAGATTATCTTCTTTTTCTGTGAGTGTTCTTGATTTTGTTCTCTTTATTTTGCCTCTTGAATATGAAAGATTATGATCTTCTTTGCCTACCAGAAAGGGAAATGAGCAAACAATTCAAAACAGAGTCAGTATCCTAACAAGAACTCAGGGAAAAAGTCTGGAAATAATTGATCCAAAAATATTTCATTTTGTGCTGAAATGAAAGTGATATTTATCAGTTTTCTACAAGAGAAAGTGATGAAACGTTTGTTGCAGATCAGACTGGTTTTAACAAAAGGTTTGCACTCGAGCAGACTTAAAAACTTGCTGTTTTGAAATGAAGATTCAGTGAAATATGGAGTTGGAGTGTTTGAATCTCTTAGCTAGCTGCAGCTATTCATTGAGTTTGACTCGGATGAATTGTTTTGACTAAAAGCCTTAACAATTCTTTCAATGCTTTTTAGTTCCCAAATACTTGAGAACAAGACTAGAGGACATGGAGAATATATATGTACATCCAGTGGTTTTAAAATATATATACCTGTGTGCAGGAGGGCATTGGAAGATGGAAGTTAAGTGTCTCTGAAAACTAGGTCTATAGTTAATGTATTTCATTTCTTATGTTTGCCAAACATACCAAGGCTGAAGTCCCTGGCAGAGCTCAAATGTAGAGATATATTGGCTCCTATTGGAAAACAATACACAAAGCAGCTGCAGTTTTCATCACTAGAATAAAAACATTGCTGTGGCCACAGTTCATTGGCATTTCCAGCTGTTCTCTGGCTATGAGGCAGACCTGTGAGCTTTTGACAGTCTCCATTGCTGAAATCACAACTCAAACAGAATTTGACACTTAAAGATCAAATTAAGGGACAGAATGTGCACCTTATGTATGTTTGCCTGTCCCAGAACCTAACATTCTAAGCAGCAGTTCCTTATTCTTGACTGCAATATTTATATCACAATGACAGGAGTAAAGATTCTTACCAGAACTAGGCTGACTGCCATCCTGTTCATCTCTGCCCTCTGTTACGCTGGTCAGGTAATGATTATTGAACTTGACTGGTTTGGTATGAACACCCTGTAGAATGATCAAATGCAGGAAGTTAATCAGATTATGCTATTACAAACTTTGTAGCACAAATACAGTGCTGGTGCACATTAAAAAAAACCCAGCAAATAAGTAGGCTTTCAATATCAGTCTCAGATTACATGAGTATCTGGAATTGAACTGTTTTCTGGCAAGATAATGCACTGTTTCCTTCTAAACGATGTGATGGTGTCTTCTGATTAAAAAAAAAAAAAAAAAGAAGAAGAAGAAGCTATACAACTTCACTTATTGAAATGAAGATTCTTGTCCAAATGACAGTGCCTCTGCCAGCTGAAAGATCTGATTCATTCCTCACTTGTGAAATGCTGTGATACAGCTTCTCAGGCACCGTTTGGCAAGGAGAGCTCTTGAAGATTCTACACAGGAGAAAGAGTCTGAATTTTGAATCTTTGAGATGGCAGATTTCCATCTTTGAAAAGCTGTTTTTTGTAACGTGGTGATTCTGGAGGTAGGGATTTTGAGTGTTTAAAACAGTATTATAGGAGATCTGCTCCAAACTACTGAACGTTATTATTAACTGTGTTGCTGAAGAGCACAATATGTAGATGGAAGGAGGTTCTAAGATAAGGTGCTAAGAGGTGCTAGAATGACTGAATATCAGCACTAGGAAGAAAAATGTAAATATTAATAGTAAACTAACAAAATGCAAAATGATAGCAACACGACTGTGAAGTCTGACTTTATCAGATAAAGATACCTGTTGAACCAGCTCCAAAAGAAAACAAAGAAGATTCCTTTCTCTGAGGTGAAGAATTAACATCCTCTGAACAAAATAATACCTTGTTTAGACCTGAATTTAAAACATATCAGTGTTACCCTGACTGCTCTAGCAACAACTTTACACCGGCTGCCTGACGATGGGCCTCATCCCCCAAACTGACCTTGTTAATAGCAAGAGCATAATTTAACATAATAGTGACTTGATGGTCGTTCTCATGGAGGGCAGCAGAAGTAATCTGCAGGGAGAGAGCAACCAAGCAACTGTTAATATCTCTTACAAAAGATACATAACGAGTCATGGCAATGGGCTGTCAGTATCTATTGTGGAGCCAATACATAAAATCACACATTACTTTTATCTGTTTCTAATACAATACGAATGCTTCCCATTTAACTGAGCAAAGAAAAGGTAATATTTTGAGTAGCTGGAAACGTCAGAATGACTGAAATGCCAAATGTCTGTGTTCCGTAAGAGTACAGTCAATTTCAACCTAGATTTTGCAGTTGCGTGGAAGGTCGTGGTGTTAAGATTCTTTATGCCAAGAGAAATGACTGCTGCTTTAGTTATATCAGTCTGTAGAAGTGCCATCTGTCACAAAACACTGGCAACTTTGGAAAAAAAAGTTGAGAGGGTACTGCTTACAAAAAGGTCTTGAAGTTACTTATGTGTAAACTCAGGGGATTATAAAGAATTGAAATGAATGTGATACGGTAATATTGCAGCAGACTGAGAATTTTAAGATAAGGTTGGTTATGTTTCCAATCTTCATTACTGAGAAAGAGGCTCAGATAGTTGGCATCTACTTTGAATAACTATTGTTATTTTGGGGACAGTGGTTTCAACATATTAGAATGACAAAAGCCCAGGAAAGCAGCAGTAGGCAACTCGGGCTTTCTGATGTCACTAGCAAAGGAAACAAGCTGCAGTGGATCTATACCTCACCTGCTGTACCACCTTTATCAAACATATCTTTTATATTTATAGTTGCATTACAGTTTCTGAACATGTTGGTCTACCAAATATGTCTCAGTGGGTATACAGCTCAGGTACAAAATATCTGATGGGTTGCTAAACCTTCCAAAAAAGGAACTCTTGCCAAATAACAGATTTCTCACTTCAGTATTCATGAGCTTCTTTTATAGCAATTTCTATGTGCTATACTTGTTTTCTTCATTTTTGTGCCATATCAGTCAGGACAGGATAAGATGCATTGAATTTGAACTGGAACAAGGTCAGACACAGAAAAGTTTTCCAGTAGCTGTGCCAGTTTAAGGAATTCCTAACCATACCTCTGCCTTCATCCCACCTCCATCTGCTTGCTGCCAACTTTCTTTTATATTAGTACTGATGTTTTTTCTTCCCAGATAGTCTTAGCCTAGGTCACTTTGTTGATCCAGTCCACGGGACACTGTCATTACCACTTGTGCTGGCATCACCTAGGAGCAGTTGTGTTGGCTTCACCTAGGAAAGCCTTCATTCAGGGAGGAAGCAACTCCTTAATCCAGCAGGACTGCCAAAGAAAGCAATACAGCACCACAGCTGAACTGCAAAGGATAATTGACTGCAGAAAAGGACTGCCTCGGGCAATTGTGAAATCTCCATTGTTGGTGAGTTTTAAAAGCTTCAAAACAAACATCTGTCAGGCAAAGTTTAGACAGAGTTGAACCTCCCTCAGGAAAGGGACCGAGTGGTCTCTGCCATTCAAGCTGTGTTGTCTAGGACTCTTTAGGAAGAGCCTCCAATTTCTACTTGCTGTTACAATCTAATCATTTTAATGCACTTGGGTGCACTGAAGGCCCTATCTCTGGTATGGAAAGAATTCACTGTTCCACTGCTGATACAGTTTATCCTCAAAGTAGGCTATACAACCACAGAGAATTACTGCTATCTGCTGGTGTAATGCAGCTTTGAGCAGGGGCAAGCATATCACCTAAATGCTGTTTCTAGTAGGGCTCATTTAACTGAACAACTACAGAGATGTCCGTGGTCTCTTCTTGATTGCCTGCTCTGGGATTCTGTAAAAGCAGCTGAGCAAGAGCCTTCTGGCTTCTATCACTTCTCTAACTGAAAAGAGACTGCTATAGGCAGAAATAAACATTCAGTGACAGACTAAGTGAAAAATGGAACAACAAAAACAAAAATCACCACGTAGAAATGGGTCAAGGTCTAAAGAAAACTGAGATGCTTACTCCAGTGTTTGTCTACCAGCCAGAATAATCTTTTCACGATGCTTTGGATTGGAAGATATTGCTCTTACCTTTCCCATTCGAGGTTCTCCAACCAGTGCTCTGAATTCAAGGTTGTTCTGAGCATAGCTTCTAAGGTGAGCACAAATGTGATCCAGCTGTTTTCTCCAGTAGCCTGATGAGAGAGAGTTAAGCAGGAGAAACATCCCTGACATTATGATTAGTATTTCTTCTACTCATCTGATAATTTATTTTAAATATAGAAGATTTTCCCAGAAACATAAAAAAGAAAAAAGGACTGAATTTTTCTTCAGAAAATGTAACTGATCAAATAAGTTATACTCTTAAAGAAAAAAAAAAAGGTGGAATACTGTCTCATCCATAAGATATAATTAATTCTTAGGACAAAATCATGTCTCAGAGTTCTTTGGAATCAAGACTGGCCCTGTGCAAAGAAGAAACTTTTGATTTCAGGATAAAAGTACAATAGTACAACTAGCAACTGTACATTTTTGAACGGATTTTTAGTTGATTTGAGGTCACTGACAGCTAACAATAAGACAAATCTGAAAGCTGCAGACGTAGTAATGGAGCCTAAATGGCATCCTGCTCTGTGTGACTCAATCTCCAAATACATGCATTTCAATTATGTACGGGAGAGCGTATGAAAAGCTTAAGCATTCCCATTTTTTTTGCCTCTCCAAATCTCTAGAACATATTTGGTCTATATAAGGAAGCTTTCACTGGGTGACAGCATATAGTCCCGGTGATGCATGTACTTTCAAGCCCTTCATTAAGCTTACCACCAAGGTAAAAGAACAGCATTAAAAACTTGATGTGACAGACATTGATTTTTTCAGAATGAAATGCATTCCTCAGCCCTTGGCAGGCTCTAATGGAGAATGTAGCTTTAACACAGCTGTCTGTTCTAAAGTCAGATAAAAATCAGCAAATCTGGGGTTGCTCAAAAGCAGTTCAGAATTTCTTCTCAATCTTTCCTAGTGAAAGTTGTTCTCTCACAAGTCAAAAGCTGCACCACTAACGGCCAATCCTTTATTATCTCTGATTAAATTAAGCTCTCTGACATGCTGAGTTAAGTCAGAGCTGTCTTTCCTACAGTGATGTCACCAAGATAAAATGTCACCTTTTAGAGCCAAAGAGTAAGGAAGCTGCAGTATTGGTACAGCAGTGTCTGTATGGACAGTCTCTGCAATGAGTGATGTACTGATACCTCTGGGGGCTGTAAGATGGAGACTGCCAGAGCTCTCAATGTTTTTACCAACCCGATCTTTGTAATGCTTTTAAGAGTCTCTTTCCCTAGTTTAGTTTATTTTTCTTCTACAATGTCTGTTTATTTCACAACACCATTCCACACAAATTCTTCACATAGACAAGCCTCATATCATATTTTTCAAGAGCTAACCCTCAGTGCCTCAGAGTTCTGTTCAATAACATTCCCAACAGGCTCCATTGCTGTACTCCTTGAACCTATCTTTCACCGTGGAATAGGATTTGTTCACTGGTTTCCAGCCCAGATACAGGGCACATTTGTCCCTGGTCTTTTAGGATCTGAGGTAATCAAACTATTAGCACTCTAGGAAGACTGCTCTGGACTCATTAGCCACAATTTTATTATTGCTGACACGCTTTCTTTTAGCTATTATGGTGATTGGTGATTGGATTTCTAAGGCCCTTCATTTACAAGAGACTGGTTGGAAAACAGGCTTGTAAGGATGTCAGTCAGTGATGGCCCATGGCATAGACTGTCACCTATTGAATTAAAACAAGGTCATATGTCAGGGCTTTGTTTTGAATAAGAGTTGTTGTTCACGATCACATAAAATCAAAGCTCTTGCTAACCTTTTCCAGGACTTATAGCTGTCAGGAGAGGCTTATGATCACTCATCTTTTGCAGCTTTTCCTTGTGTAAAACCAGCTCAAGTTCCTTCTTTTCCAGCAGTTTGCTAGATGGGTAAAAAAGTCCAACGGTTTGGGTTCCTTTATCTTCTGTTTCTTTTAGTTCTGTTCTCGATTTGGAGAAGGAAATAGGAAGAGGCTGCCAGGCAATTTGAGCTTGAAGTGATTTAGGCTGTACAGGGTGGAGAGGAAGAAAAATTCTAGTGTCATTAGATGGCTTACAGCTAAAACAGTATAAAAGTTGTAAAAGAATGACAAAGCTAGAAGGGAGAGTTATTAACAATTGTTGGTTATAGTTATCAGTCAGTAACAATGATGCAATTTATCACAAATAATCGAGAAAGAAAAACTCTTTGTGACTGTCAGCAGAATCAGGTCGCTTAGTTGGCCTTGCTAACTTTCAAGGCAGAGTCACACATTCATGAAGTAGTGCCTTATTAGCAGGACGCAAATAATTTACAAGTACTAAGATAAAATTTCTTAAAGAATGAAGACTTTTGAAAAGCTGCTTGTTTCTCATTTTGATATTTAAATAAGACTGGATTAAAGCCTTTGGCTAAGTCCACATTTATGAAGAAGATAGTTATCAGTAGAAATATGGTTGGTTTTGCTCTCGGCGTGCTCACAGAGCACAACATCTCAAAGGAAGTGAGAGTTAGGTTAGTCTGCTGTTGGTGTAGATCAGTACGTCTTTTAGCCATATTCAAGCCTGGCATTGAATTTCTGTGTGTCTTACCTCAGAAAATCTCAGCGAGTCTCCAGAATCCATGTGAACTCCATTTTGAGAACTCAACCTTGATGGGGGCTCTATGTAAACACCACAGGACCCACAGAACCGAGCATATGGACGAGTTTTTGTACCACACTTGTAACAAGTAAAGTAGCATGGCGGAGGGTCAGGCTGGAAAGTTTAACGAGACACTTGTGACTACAGAAATACAACACACAGTTTGGGAGAGGAAAGCTATTACGTGAATTAAAAGGCAGTAAAATAACACTATCTAAAGCTATTAGATTAGAAACATTAACCAAGATACCAGATGACTAACACTGGTAGATACAAGACTGACTCTTCAGCAATCTCAGCGCCACCATATGGAGAGAAACATGTTTTCCGACAGATCTAGTCCAACTCCCCTGCAATGAATAGGGACACCTACAGGTAGGTCAGGTTGCACAGAGCCCTGTACGCCCTGACCTCCAATGTTTGCAGGGATAGGACTTCCACCACCTCTCTGGGGAACTTGTTCTTCTGCCTCACCACCCTTATTGTTAAAAAAAAAAACAACTTTTATCCAATCTCTCTCCTTTTAGTTTGAAACCTCCTATCACAACAGACTCTGCTGAAGAGCCTGGCCTCTTCTTTCTTACAGCCCTCCTTTGGCTACTGAAAGACTGCTCTCAGGTCTACCTGGAGCCTTCTCTTTCTTCCTCAGGCTGAACAGCCCTAGCTCTCAGCCCCTCCTTGTGTTAAGGGTGTTCCATTTCTTGGATCGTTTGTGTGGCCCTCCTGTGGATGTGCTCCAGCAGATCCACATCTCTCCTGTACTGAGGACTCCACATCTGGACACAGCACTCCAGGTGAGGTCTCACAGCTCAGAGCAGAGGGGCAGGATCACCTCCCTCACCCTGCTGGCCACACTTCTTTTGATGCAGCCCAGGACACAGTTGACTTTCTGGGCTGTGTGGGCACATTGCTGGCTCCTGTTCAGCTGCCACCCACCAGAATGCCCCAGTTCCTTTTCAACAGAGCTGCACTCTATCCTTACATCCCTCAGCTTGTGCTGATAGTAGGGGTTGCCATGGCCCAGGTGCAAGACCTTGACCTTGTTGAACTTCATGAGGTTTTCCTGGGCCAACTGCCAGAGCCCATCTGGGTTTCTCTGAATGGCATCTCATTCTTTGGGTCTGTCGACTATATCACACAGCTTGGTGTCATACACAAACTTGCTGAGGATGCACTTGATCCCCCTGTTGATGTCACTGATGAAGATATTAAAGAGTAGTGGTCCTGGTATTGACCCCCTGTGTTTGCATATAGGGGAATGTTTTCAGTTTTATGTAGACTCAGCTCACAGAAACAAACAAAAAAGTATTATACTCTGGGAAAATAATCTTACCTTGAAATGCTATATTAATAAAATACACGCTGAAAGAAACTGTTCATATTGATTGTACCATGCAAAAATTTTACTGAGCATTCATTGAGAATGTATTTCTCTTTACTTAAGGCCTTCAGCCAAAACAGTTGCATGCATCATCTCATCTCTGGTAGCTGCCTGAATAGACAGATGATCATAGCCCAGGATGTAGGAATGTAGGAAAACTGGAGTTATGTTAGTGTATGCTTTAACTCTTAACGAATAAGTTACTTTGGCAGAGTGCGTGGCTACTGCATCTCAACAGATGGAGTAAGGTGATGCTCACTGATCCATGGCAATTTATTTACATCTCTAAACTCTTTAGTCATTGACTAAAGTGGAATCAAGATATAACCTCAGCCTTTATTTTTTCTTTATCCTGTGTGCTTTAAGCAAGTGTTTTGATAGTAGTAACTACGTGCTATCTGACAAGAGCTTTGCAAAGAGAAAATTGTAATTGCTGCAGCTCACAGATGAGCGAAAACAGATTGGTCAACAAAAAGACCAGCGTACCTTGGCTCCACACCAGTCACAAAAACGTGCATCACAGTGGTTCACACGATTGCATTTTGAGCAGAATACTGTCTTCCCTTGCTGACTGGTGTAAGGTGGGGGAGGATCTCTTCCCAACGTGGGCTAATAAAACAAGGTAAGCATTAGGTAGAAAACAGTTCTTACAAAGAAAAGTTCAATGGCTAAATAAGGTGAAACAGGAAAGCAAGCTGTGTTGATAACATAAAATTCAGCCTAAAGGAATTATTTCAACATGGAATAAGCAACAGACTGACTTTGCTCTAACTTGCCACTTTTTTATTTGCAAAGCCACAATAAAATGTGGTACTAATTAATTTACTGTTTGTTTTAGTACAAAATAGTGCAAAAAAAAAAAATCTTTTGCAATCTTGTTCTTTTACAGTGCATGCTTATTCATATGGCCCCATGCATAAGTATATTTGGAATCGACAAGGAGGTTTCTCTCCTGGTAAACTTGTACTTTGAAATCCAAAACACAAGAGTTATTTTTCTCAATACCTTTTAAAAGCTTTCTTGGAGTATGTTAGGAAAGTGTGTGCAGACAGCGAGTTTTCACTCAGCTGATATCTGCCACGTGGATATTTTTTTGCACACATTTACCTCATACAAGTTATATATTACCTACTTTTTCAACTACAATTTACTTACACGGTATGCAAAAGATTTTTTTTTTCATCTGAAACTTCCAGAGGCTGAACATAGATCCTAACTAGGACAAATAGGCATAAAATGTTTTATTAGGTTTTGCTTCAGGGAACTAACAAGTCTAAACATGTTCTACATCTAAACTATTTAACAATCATAAATAGCAATATCAGTATTATTACTAATGATCAGTTAATCAGTTATTCAGGAATTACTCTTGGTTATCACCAATCAATATTAACAGTAAAGTTTGTAGAACATTGATAATTAAATGAGCATTTAACTTTCTTTCTTGGCTATTACAGAGCTCATTGTTCATGTCACATGCCCAACTTTATGCAGTTACACATTAATGCCTACATTCAGTGAAGCAGTTAAACACATGATCTTCTTAGGTAAGTAAGTACAGATTCCTACTGAAGTTCACTTTGAAGTGACACCTCACTGGCTGTACCAGAGACCTTTGCATCTGGCTACTGATGGTTTTAAAACTCAGGATGTTGCCATAATGATCAGATTTTTAATTGCAAATTGTTATTCTCTCGCTTCTACTTGAGAATCTGAAGAAGTGAAATGTATCCTAAGCTTTTCATACAAGACTTCTCTCTTCCAAAGTAAAACTAAAACTCTTCCAAGGTATTCAATAAGCAAACTAAAATGAGATCTGAAGCAAACATCAATTTTAGAGGGAACAGTTACTTTTTTTTGTGTGTGCAGAGTCAGCACCAAATACAAACATGAGAACTTCATCTACATAGGGGCAGCAGCAAATGGAGATAACAAAAATAATGTACAAGGCGATTTTGTTTTCACAAAGTAACTTAAATCAATGAGAACAATCTTCTTCTAGTTCTCTATTGCAATTAAAAATAATTTGAATACCAGCAGGACTCCCATGGAGTCACAGCTACCTGTTTTTAAAGAGCATCCTGAGTTTTGACAATGGCATTTCCAGTCCTGATTTCCACAGGAGAAATTTGAAAGTATAGGATACATTTGCATAATGCTGAGCTTGTCCTTTGTGATGGTGCATGTGTGGGAGTACTGATCCACAATATGGCATGTGGGTGGGATCCTCTGCTTTTGTAACATAGGCACACAGGGCCATGACTTCTGCTTTGAAAAGCAAATAATTTTATGGTTTGATTTCAGTAATGCTACCGCAGCCGACACAAGCCTTACCATCTGTGTTTCAGGCAGTTTGCTTTCACAGGTCACGCAATGTTTAAGGTGAAGAGGATTTCCTGTGCCACATGCCTGACAAATTACTTTGCCCTTTTAAATAAAGAAAGAACACATTTCATACAGTATTTGAAAACAGTGAACTACAATCATAGCAAGAGGACTTTATCTTAGAAATTGCTGTGCTTATTCAGCTCTGCAAGTAGAAGAGAGACTAAGTCTGTGCTGTGGGCTTCAGATTTTTGTTAAGCTGTATTGCCTGATTGTCACACATCTGCATATCTTTGTGCCAGTTTTACTTTATTTAATCTACAGTACAATTCACTCGAGATCCAGTATCAGTACCTGCAGGCCTTTCAAATCATTAGTGTCAGCTTGTTCAGTCACTGCACTCATGCACAACAGAGGCAGCCATATTTGCAAGGAAAAAACAAAAACCTTGTTTTGTCGATTATGTGTTCCTGTGCTTGTCAGCCCTGCCTCGGGCTGCTTCACAGGGCTGCTAGGAACTTTTATTCCACTTTATTCTTAGCTTAAAGCCCTCCTTATCTGGTCAGCCTGATAAAGATATTTTGCTAGCCAAGATACCCTTGCCCTGTTTAATGAGGTGGATCCCATTTCTTTTAAGGAAATGTTGATCCTCAAGCAAGGTCCTGTAATCATAGAAACTAAAACCCTTTTGTCAACAGCTCCACAACCAATTGCTGATGTGTAACATCAGTCCCCACTTCACAACCTATTCCCTCAGCAGTACAACTGAGGAAGGTTCCCATGGTCCACATGCCCACACATGGGGAGTATTTTGTAGGGCCAATTTTGTCCAGTTAAAGCTATCAGTACTTTCAGATCACTGACCAAGACTGCCCTGATCCTTCCAGCTGACCTCTACTGAGCACTCACAATCACATGAGGTAAGCAGAGTAATCAGAATATACTTAATACACTTTATTGATAAGATGATCCCTACTAAATACAGTTCCATGCATTCCTGTCATTGGGGCTTCTACCTCAGGTGCTCCTCAGCATGCTTTCCTGAGCTTATGTGTTTTTGCCTTTAATAATTATTCCTATCCAAGCTTTTTTAACCCTACTAACTCCTAATGCTGCTTTAAGGTATTTCACGTTAGATTCAAAATATTCATAGAGTTGTCACCTGTTAAAGAAATGCATGCCAGGAGTTAAATTACTGAGTTGTTATATTTATTCTCAGTTACCTTAAAGCAGGTGTTGGTTTGGGGCTGCAGTTGTGGATCTATTGGTGACTCACACACAATGCAGGTGGGCGTATTCATTGGCACGAGATGTTTGCATTCAAGACATGGTGCCATCTGAAAGAAAAAATGTATCACATCTTATTAAGGAGATCATTAAGGTTATCATGAGATCTTTAATGATACTGTGACAGTTTGCCACGATATTGTCATTAATGTCACAATATTGTATTTTCTATATCTTGCTCATTAGAGTTTCTATCAGCAGCAAAGTCAGTGGACTGACAGCAGAAAACAAAAGTTGACATTGATCAAAGAGAATGCTTTACTGATACGTGTGCCAGAAAGGTGCTAAGTTACTTCACAGTCAATTTAAATGCTATCATAATGTGTGTAGGCAGCTCAAGTCGTTGTAACTGTGAACTACAGAGGTGCTCAATATTTTCAGTCATCTCTTGAAACTACAGCATTGTCTCAGACAAGACATCTTTCTGAGGATACAGGAGGAAAAAAACAACACCATTGACTCATTAGATAGGGTTATTATCTCCTGGGAAGAGCTTATGGAAGACAGTGGAAGACATAACTGCAAAAACTTAGTGTTCTGACATACACACCACTGTTCAAATCTGCAGGCATATTAGATGGATCTTCTACAGCTGTGGCATAGACACTAGTTACTAGCTAACTAACCTCACTAGTTAGCACTGAAATAAGATGCATATGCAGCTCCTGAAGATGCAGTCGTTGTTGCAGGATGAGGAGGAATCTGAATTTGGTGATGTTTCCTGGCACAAGTGAATAAAATACAATTTACTTTTATAAAGTTGTCCTTATTAAAATATGTGGCACCTGCAGCAATCCAGTTAATTTTGCCCTCCATTGAATAACTACTTTGGTAGTTATTCACTGCTGAAATTTCCAAACAAAATAAGAAAAAGAACTTCTCCAATGAAAGAGTGACTAAACAATGAACATGTAATTTGCTGAGGAAGTTCCTCCACAGAGGATTCATTGTGTTACGATGTTTTGCTGACCTGTGCTCCTTCAGGGGATGGGAAGCGGCGCACTGACATGGGTGGGATAGGAGAGCCACATTCCTGGCAGAAGTGAGCCGAGGGGTCAGACAGGCGAGGTGCAGAGCAGTATGCACATCTGAAAACAACAGCAAGCTGGCTGATCTTGTTTTGGTGACGTACTGGTGTGTAACAGTGACAAATCTGGAACAGTTTGTGTCTGGACTTAGGCCACTGATTTGTAAATTGTGGCTCCTAGTCTATGGTGGCTCACCAGGCCGTTCCCCAGTGTCTTTTGCAGGAGGCTGAACAACCAAGAGCTTTGCAAGGTGGAAGCTCTCTGGCTGCTGCTACAAAGTTTCATGATTTTTACTCACCATATAAGGTCTACTGATACCTGAGCTGCATCACCTACTGTGAGTATCTGTTTTGCTTTTCTTATTTATAGCAGAGTCTCACAGCATCATCAACTTGGTTGTTGGAAGCAATTGCTCTGTTTCTTTCTAAGGACAAAGATGTCAATGGAAGTCATTCACCTGAGGAAATCTCTGTCTCTCTGGATCCTTGCCACCTGTGTGCTTGCTAGGCTCTTCCGGCTGGGCACTGCAGAACTGGCAAACTGAAATAAAGGTAATTCTTTTGCATTAATTAATGTTTGCCAAATGCATACAAAATGCACATAAATGCATCTAGCTAATACAGCTAAAGACATGTGATTTGAGACAAAGTGCATTGAAACGTACTGCTTTAAGGAATATCTAATACATTTCCCATTAGCTGTATTAGTGATCCAGAGATTCTTAAAAAAAAAATAAAATTGTCACATCCACGACAGGATGTTTAAATCTTAGGTTTTAAACATTTGTTAATTGCAGTTTCAGTAATGTATTAGAAAGGGATTTGTAACAGTGCAGGCATTGGTAATTTGTCATGCTTGGTTTTGTCTTTACTGATAACTGCTTTCCCACTGAAGCGTGCCTTTACCCATAACTTTAAATCAGTACTGTACGGTGCAGCCAAAGGCACTAGTTTCTGAGAGGCTGTATAAAAATGATCACAGATTTTCACATCTTTCTCTTTTCTGGACAGACTTGTGCAGTTTTCCTCCATGCCCCTTTCCTTGCCTGTAAGGACTCTGTTGGTAGTGCTGAGGAATCCTCTCCATACCCTGCTGTTCCCAAAGGGCTGCTCAGGAGCTGTGGTCCTTGCAGGGGCTTGTGCTCAATCTTTCTTTCTGTCTCCAAGTCTAAAATCAAAGACTTGTTATTCTACTGGTATTCACTTCATACAGTTAACGTATATGTCAATATGACTATTTCATACTCTCAAATTTTAAATTTCAATAGGCAAGCATATTTCTAGTCGCTCATACCTGATTTTCACATCCATATTCTGGGTTAAAACAAACTGCGTGGAATTACAGGAAATAAAACTAGAAGAAACCTCTTTCCTTTCCAAAAGAGCTTCCTTTTATATTTTCCTCAATTTAGTTTTTTTTTCCTTCCTGCATTTCAAAAACCAAGAGTAAAATGCACAGACATTAATGTGATTCCCTGCTCTTGAACACTCCCATTGCTGTTAGCACAGGCTAACAGCCTTTATGTATAAAAATCCATCAAGCTTTCGTTTCTGCCTTGTGGATTTATTTAAAATCTTACTGCAAATAAATTTGCAATCCCATCAGTTTAATGTCATTTTCTTATACAAGATTGAGCCTTCTTATGTTGCTCAGAAATGAATCACATTTTTTTCTTTTTAATAAGCAACCTGGTATGTATAGAAGGCAATTTTTGTTCCCTATGTGCAGTGTTGAGAAATGGAAATTGGATTTCTCAGAAGATGTTTTGTCCACTGAGATGTTTTTTAGAATTATCTATATTTTAACGATGACATTAGGTGAAAATCTTGCACTGTATTTTCAGCTAAGAGAAAAGAAAGTCTATTCTGATTTCCTGCAGCAATACCATACCTTGAAATTCACTCCAGGCAGGCTTGATTTCCACATCCAGACCATTTTTCTTTAGTTTTGTAGTAAACATTTCATCTTCCTTCTCCTAAGGAGTGATTTCATTTGGAATACTTAGGATTGGTTGCTTTTTGCTCTAATCCTTCCTTGCTGTAGTTATTTGTTATGATTTTAAAGGCATATAATTAAAGTATTTATTTTCATTGTAAGCATTTGAAAAATTTAGAGGATAAATGTATTTTAAGTATATTTAACCCGAATTGGTCATGACAGAACAGTGAGAAAAGAAAAAAACATTTCATTTTATAAATTTCATTTTATAAAAAGGATTGAGGCTGCAAAGATGAGCAACGGGGAAAATAAAATATGTAAAAAATACAGGCAGTCAAGGTTTAATCTCTAAGCACTGTCATACATCAAACTTTCTATATTCAGACGAGAGATTACAATTGCTAAAACTTGCCTGTGTTGTGACATCTTTTAGGAACTTCTTGTCATCATCTTCCATAGAGAAGAGGATGTTTGGTTGCTTGTACTCTACTAGAAACACCTTTGTTACAACAGCACTCTCCCTGCAGTCCCTGAAAGTCAATAAATAAGCTATTAATGAATAAAAAGCATTATGAGAAAGCAACCCAGAAATCTCCTGGCCAGGGAGATTGCTGCCTCTTGTTTGCTAAGTACAAACTTCATTAAACCGCACGGCTTCAAGCCACTGCTGCTTTTTGTCCCATCCAAAACAGAAATAAATTAGACCAGGATACTTACTTGGTAACTGCAAGAGCCTTGACTGTTATTTTCCCAACTGGTAACGTGATAGGACTCTTATACTTAAAAGTGTTATGCTCTCCATAGCCAGGTTTCCTAAAAAGTTCTGGTTTACTTCCATCTAAAGTGTAATAAATAGAGACCTCAGGTGTATCTGAACAACACAGAGAAAGTAATTAGCCAAACTGTGCAGGAACTGGAAAAAAAACCAAACATCATCTCTACAACTCTGGAAATATCCAGTACTGTGCTTGATTTTCTCACATAATGAAGCAATTACATAAAAGTTCAGAACAAAACTGTCCTGAGACTAGCTGTTGAGAGCACTAATATACTAAAATAACCCTGGTCAGCAATATTGTTTGCATGTAAAAAAAAAAAATGCTGGTGCAAGTATATTGGGTGTACCCAAATAGGTAATATTGCAGGGTACTTAAAGAAGATCATAAACTGCAACAGGTTGCCCAAGGAGGCTGTGGATGCCCCATCCCTGGAGGCATCCAAGGCCAGGCTGGATGTGGCTTTGGGCAGCCTGGTCTGCTGGTTGGCGACCTGCACACAGCAGGGGGTGGAACTGGATGATCATTGTGGTTCTTTTCAATACAGGCCATTCTGTGATCCTATGATAAAGATCGCAAAGACCACAATCATCTGCAAACAACGGTATGGAGATTAAGGTTCAAAGGATCGCGTAACAAAAGGTTCTACGGAGGCAAAGCTGCAGTTCGTACCTGACTTTATTTCTAGCCGAGTGCTGGTGTCTATCCGGTGCTTGGCCCTCCCTGGAAGAGGGCTCCGAAGGGGTATGACCTGCGGCACCGACACGGAGCCCGCCGTCATCCTTCTCAGCGGTGATCTCTAAACCGGAACGACAACAGAAAAGCAGACGATGATTTTTCTTGACAACAGTGCGATCTGAGCCTACGCGTCCCGCTGCTCGGCAACCGGCACCGTCGCGCGCAAGTGACGTCACCTCAACGCGCCGCCGCGATCCGCCGCTCGGCAACGGGTCCTCGCCGCGCCTCGATGACGTCATCTCCCCGCGCAGCCGAGTCCGCCGTCATGGCGGAGGTAAAGGTGAAGCCGGAGGTTCCCGACCCCGTGGACATAGAGAGCAGGTGCGCTGGGCCGCGCCCCGGCCCTCTGTGCTCGGGAGAGGCTTCGTGGTGCTGGGGAAGCGGGGAGCGGCGGGGCTCGGTGCGTTGCTGTTGAGGCTAAAAGTTAAGTGGAGCAGCAGCGCTGTCAGGAAGAGCTGAGGCCGTTTCTCCATGAGGTGGAGAGGCGTCTTGGTAGGAAGCGGGGCCGGGCGCTGTGTCTCCTCACTGGCAGTGGCTGAGAAGCGGTTCGTCCTTACTTCTTCTGGGCTGTTCTTTTCCTTCCGTCCCGGCTCTGATAACCTTTCAAGGGACTGGTTTGAGGCGCAGCAGTCTTTGGTTCCCAAACTGCTTCTCTCCTTTCCCAGGATCATCGAGCTGTGCCACCAGTTCCCTCACGGCATCACGGACCAGGTGATCCAAAATGACATGCCCCACATGGAGGCCCAGCAGCGAGCCATGGCCATCAACAGGCTGCTCTCCATGGTAGGGTGCTCCCCACTCCCTCGCGTTGCTTCAGCCTGAGGCTCTCTCTCGATGTCAGTGGCTGCATGGTAGCACCCAGCCCGGCAGGACTAGGAAGTTCATCTTTGGATTTCGTGTCATTTGCTGTAATTGGCAGTTTTCGCAGCTTAATTTTGGTTCTCATAACCACTTATGATCACCGTGACCACTTGTAGTGCTCACCATAACCTGTTAAAATATATCTCAGAACATACTGATTCCATTCTGTAATACAAAGTTAACATCTGTTGTGTGAATAATTGGCCTCTGTGAGGCATTCTCAAACCTGGCTGGCAGTTTTCTGGTGATCTCTACAAAACTGAGAACGTAACCAAACAAAATAAGAACCCCCGTCTCTTCCACTGGAAATCAGAATTGTTTAACGTTCTTGTCCAGTAGAGCTCTCACTTGATATCTGGGTGCAAATGAGCACTTTGGTGGGAAGTATACAAGAGCTCAATGTCCCTTGTACAAGGTGAAAGTTAGGAGAAACAATAATGGGAAGTGCACCAATGTTGTGGGAAGAGGCTGGAACTGTATTTGTTATTTCTGATAGCTAATGATAAATGGATGGTCATAGGGGAAAGATAATATCCTCAAGGATACTGTTGTGTCTAGCAGTAAGAAGTGTTGTTTTTTCTTTATTCAGCTGATAGAAAGTAAATGTATTTTCTTTGCAAGCTGAGATTTTTTGCCACGTTCTGAAAACAAGCAGTTAGAAGGAAGGTTAATGTGCTGTGCCTATTTCCCACAGGGGCAACTGGACCTTCTCAGGAGCAGTTCAGGTCTCCTGTATAGAATCAAAGAGTCTCAAAATGCAAGGTAAGCCTTGTGCTTATGGAATAAATACTTGGACACAGTTGTGCAACTGACGTGCAGCATTGTTGGGAATGCAGTAAGGAATTTAATGTGGGCTCTATGATAAGGAGGTTACAGAATTTAATTGCTTGATACGCTTAATTCCCCTGAGTCAATCCTGAAAACTGTTCTATGATTTCTGCTGCACAGAGGCTACCGTGAGGCTCCAGCTGTGAATTGCTAGCAGAATTCTTCATCTGGCAAAGTGATCTGTGTGAGCAGATGTGTATGCTCAGATGAAACCCAGCTGCAGCTTGGCCACAGCATCTACAACTGTAGTTCTGTGGTCTTCCTCAGCACTTACAACAGTTCCAGAAGACCACTTGATCTGTTGTTGATGCTCTTTATTTGATTTATTAAAATGTACCTTCAAAAAAGTCATGTTTTGTGATGCCTATGTGAATCTGAGTAGGAGATGCCAGGATTTACTTCTAGAAAGAAACGGCCTTCAAAATTATCTTCTGTGCACGCATCTCAACTTCTCTTTCCAATGCAGTACAAAAAGATTCCTGAGTTCAGGCTTAGTGAAGTCTCAGACCAGTGAAAAGGCACGTTGTGGAGCTTGGAGCACTCTGCTGTCCCCTTGTTAGGACAGTTGATCGTGAGTTATGCGCTGTTTGACCTTATGCAGTTGTGTTAATATATGACTCCAAACTTCTCATTGTTAAGAGAAGTTGAGTGAATCCTGCTTACCCTCATTTTTAATTACGAATATTATTTTTTTTTTTTCAACTGTGCTGTTTTCTCTTTACTGTGGCTTCTCACTGGCAAGCTCAGAATGATCCAGAGAGATTTGGTGTCATGTATTTTATTTGCCAATGGCTGGTTTATTGTGTAGGGCTTCTTTCTTCCTTTGTGCGTTGTGGTTTTTTTTCATTGAATTTGTTTTTGCTTTAAAATAAATCCACCCTCTTTCAAACTTAAAAAAAAAAAAATCCCGTTGTCTGTTCTACTCCACAGTAAAATGAAAGGCTCTGACAATCAAGAGAAGCTGGTTTACCAAATTATAGAAGATGCAGGCAACAAAGGTAGTTTAAATAAATTATAATGGTGAATGGTAGTAACTTTGTTTATGGAACTTTTTCCATCCAAACTTTTAAATTCTTGTCCAGGCAGTACAGATATAAAATAAAGAGTACACTTTACAACTCTGTAGCTGATGTTCCATGTGTCTGCTTATTAAAAACAAAGGAAGACATATTTTTCTATTAAAATAACAAATTCTGTGGTCTGACCTGTTGGGACCTCTTTCAAAATATGAAGTTTTAGAATATGAATTATGGCTTATTTATGGGACTGTGAAACAGAGGAATCTGTACAAACACTCATCACTTAAAAGACAACATTATATCTCTGCTGGATTTAGTAACTGCACTAACAGCAGAACCCACTGCTAGTAACAAGGCTTTCTTAGGAATCTCTGCACTCCTGTTGAGAGAGAGCTGGTAGAAGTAGCTGTAATGTTTAAAGCGAGTGTGGATACTAAATGTGCAAGAACAATTCTGTGAGGCCAAATGAGGTGAATGTATAAGAGCTCCCAGAGGTGGAGATGGTGACTGTGGTGTGAGCTTTTTCTTCTGTTTTATCAGGTGATTTTTATTTCGTCCTCTTTTTCCCCTTCCCTCCCTTTTGCTGAGGAGGATTGGAGATGCATCCTTTGGCTGAGAGAAAAAAATACCTGCTTCTCATAATTCATTTCTGTTCATTTCTGTGCTTTTTAAACAGGTATTTGGAGCAGGGACATTAGATACAAAAGTAATTTGCCTTTAACGGAGATCAACAAGATACTGAAAAACTTGGAAAGCAAGAAACTAATTAAAGCAGTTAAATCTGTGGCAGTGAGTAGTTTGTGACTTGTTTTTTTTTTAACATTTTCACATGTTTGCTACATGCTGTGTTTGTTTGAATGTGGAACAGGGAGCAGAGAAACCTTGTTCTGCTTCCAGCTTTGTCGCTGCACGTGTACCAGCACTTCACTCTTCAACACTTATAATGTATGTTTGAGGTGTGCCAGATCCAAGAGGCTTTAATTTTTAATAAATAATAAACATACTACTAGCAAAAGAATTAATAATGTAAGTAATAAATACATCACTGCTAATATACTGCTCTATTACTGTTCACACTACTGTTAATGGCATACCATTATTATCAAATCAACAGCTTCAGTGCTCTTAATTAGACGAAACTGTTGTCATGGTTCTGTTCCCTTTTCTCTGCTGTTCCATGTGCGTTCTTGAGGACATAAAACCTACTCAAGAGCCTGGGTTGTTTCAAACTTTTGCTTCCGGCATCCCAGTGGGCTTTTAGGTTTATAGGTCAGCAGCTCTGCTGTCTGCAGGCATCCACGCTCCTGCCATCTGCACATCCTCCCTCTGTTGATTGCTGACTTGTGTTTGTACTGAATTCTTTTCTGTTTCTTGACTGGGTTTTCCACCATCTACCTACCATCTTCATCCACTGTTTCCATCTAAATCAGCAACCTGCTTATGAGTACTTTGTCTCCCTGGGTCCCAGTTTTGCTATGTTTGTACAGGAAGGTGGTATCTCTTAAACCAATACTTAAGCATTTGTAGCTGTGTATGGTAGCAGTGATACAGTTACATACCTGCAGGTGCCATAGTAAAGTAGTTCTTCTCTGAAGATCCCTGAGCAGCCTTCAGTTATCTGATTGATACTGGACATCTGTTGTCTGAAAAGTGTTAAAACATTTGATTCTTAGTCTTGGTTATTCTATTTTGTTCCAGTTACTCAAGCACTTTCATATCTTACATGCAAATAGTCCACATACCAGAACAGGGCTATTCTTTTCAGTACTTTTGTCATTCTGTTGTAATGCTTATGCAGCATCCTGCTCTGCCTTACCTGCTTAATTGCAAATCATTGGCATGTGCATGTATTATTTGGGCACTCTTCTGGTTTTCAGCTCAGGTCCTGTCTTGTTGCAGAGCCTGTTGCATATAGCAATGTGTAAATCTTCTCTGTATGTCCATCTAATCTAGGAGTTGTATACATCAATCCAGGTGACTCAAGCTGTCATTACTGTGCCTTAAATTTTACTTTCATCTATTCAGAGCTGTGTGCTTTCTCTACCAGGCATCCAAGAAGAAGGTGTATATGCTGTATAACCTGCAGCCTGACCGATCAGTGACCGGTGGGGCCTGGTACAGTGACCAAGACTTTGAGTCTGAATTTGTGGAGGTGTTAAATCAACAGTGTTTTAAATTTCTACAGAGTAAGGTGAGAGCCACTACTGAATCGATCCTCCATCTGTGTTTGCAAGTAATTCTTTTATTTCTAAAGTCAGTGACAGACAAGGCTTAAGTTTCCCATAGTGCTTTCTGTAAGCGTTACACTGTTTTGAACCCTTCACAGTGGGTGGAATCT